TCTGTGTTTACCATGGGCCTTGGGTTTCGTTGCCTGTCCGGCTGCAAACTGCCGAGATGTTGGGCTGGGCCCGAGCTACAGTCGCTTTTCGACTGAGCTCATTTTGCGGATGCTCGGGTTGAGGCTCGGGGTTCGGGCTGCATTCGTTTCTGCGTTTAGGAGAGCCCTCACACCCCACTCAAGGTCTTTAGGCAATCCGAGCTATAACAACTCGCTGTTTTGGGATTTCGGTGCCTACCATCCTTGGCAGGACCTTGGCAAGCCCAGCCTACATCAACTGTGTGTGAAACACGGAGCACGGTGCGCGGACTCATCGAGCTCCCTGCGAGCAGGGCAGGCTTCATTGACGTGCAATCTTAGTCACACTACAAAGGCCCGGGCTGATCAAATGCCCTCGATGGATTTCCGGGCCTGCGTATGCGGCGCACCAAAACCATGGAAGGTTTAGCCCTCTCTCTTTCTCTCTCGCTTGCTTGCTTGCATGGGGTTGGGGGTCGCAAGGGATCCTTGGCCCGGAGGCCTACCCCACTCGGCGCGCAACTGTGCGTCTATCCGGCCCCCCCCTCCCTCCCTCTCCCTCTCTCTCCCTCGCTCCCTCTCTCCCTCTCTCTCTCTCTCTCTCTCTCTCTTCCACTCTCCCACTCTCCCACTCTCCCACTCTCCCACTCTCCCCCTCTCCCTCTCCCTCTCCCTCCCCCTCCCCCTCTCTCTCTCTCTCTCTCTCTCTCTTTTCTTTCTCCGGGCCTGAGGGCGAGCCCCCGCGGGAGCCGCCCTCTCTCTCTCTCTCTCTCTCTCTCTCTCTCTCTCTCTCTCTCTCTCTCCGCCCTAAAGCAGGGGAACTTTACATCTTCGGCCTCTCGAAGCTGCACTTGGCTCTGCCAAGTTGTCACCAGCACGTCCCGGTGTTGGGCCACTTTCTGACGTTCCAGCTCCCGATCCTGTTCCATCTGCACCATACCTGAATGAACACAGACAATGCTGAAAAATCAAGAGTCGCTGCATGGGTATTCGCATGCAGCGTCAAGCCGAGCTACAATTGTTGACGATCTGTTGCTCTTGCCGTAGGCGCATGCTCCGGTCGATCAAGCGTCGATTCTGGTCTACCTCGGACCAGCACAGATACCGCATGCTGTATGACAACTACATACAGGCCCACGTTACATATATGTATGTATGCCTGCATGCATGCATGTAATTTCATACACACGTGTGTACATACATACATACATGTAAGAACATGCTTTCTGAAACGGATGAACCCACCCGCGATCTCACTGAGCTTCAGACCTCCATTTGCTTGATGAGGTCTTGGCAGTGTGAGCGATGGGTCTCCACGGTTTGTGTAGGCTTCTCCTTCACAGACGCAGGCACTGCAAACCCCTCAAAACTCAAAACCTATAAACCTTTGGGGCCAGGTTTCCAACAGGAAGGCGGTTAGGGTCCTCGGGGCCCCAGTATCCCGCTGCTTCGATGCGTTTACTTTCTTTCTCTGCTCGCCGTCGCTGGCGTTGCTCTTCGATCTGATCCTTCAAGAAGAGGGCCTGGGTAAGGACTGGATCGGCGTCTGGGGTTGAGTACGGCAGAGAAGAAGCTGAGTGCTGCTGCATGCCTCCTTCTAGCGTCTGCCTTCGCAGTGGTTCCATCCTCATATGTTTGAGTCACAGACGTGTACCACCGTCATGTTGCCAGAAGGCTAGATTCAGGCTTTATCCACCGGCTTTTGTGACATGCGCTCTATTTCTGCGATGCCTCCATCGCTCATGCGTGTGATTTTGCTGGGTTGGCATTAGCTTGAGCCGTTTTGGTAAGGAAGCGACATGACGCAGGGCATCGGCCACAAGCATGGAATCCTCGAGCATGTTGATCTCGTCCTGCGGTCTTTCACAGAACACGGAAGCGATTTCAATACCTTCCTAATCCCTCCTAGATCAAAGCTTCTTAAGCGCTGGCGTGGATTCATCAGGACTTGGGCCTGACGCTTCTTCGCCAATGTCGCCAGCTCTACCTTCGTCTGCTCCACCTGACATGTGCTTGGCTAAAGCCCTCGAGCTAATTAGCACTTTTTCGAGCCTTATCCTCAAGGGCTCTTCGAACATGCTCGTCGTAGAGCCTTCTGGACCTGGACTCGCTGATTTTGGCCATTTTGTCGGTTCCACATTACAGGCAAAGCAATCAGAAATCCTCAGCTGTCTGCATGTGATCACGACTCTTCGTGAGAAAGAGTGGATGCCTGAAGCGCAAGATTTCGCAACTACTGTGAGCGAAATATGAGAGCGCACAGGCCACAGATGCTTCGATGGCCATGACGGAAACAGCTCCAGAGAATGGTCACTGCAGCCTTGCCCCAATCGGCCTTGCCATGTGCGCACCACTCTCATCAACCAGCTTCATGTCTGTCTCTTCTACTTCCACATCCATCTTCTCCTGGGTCAGGCTTTTCAAGCACGAATGGACTGCAATCGTAGTCCGGGGCCACTGCCTTTCTTGACACAGGCACCGTTGCCTGACCCCGATGCGTTGTAGTTGGCCCCGATATGTATATATATATATATATATATACATATATATATGTATGTATATATAATATATATATATATATATATATAATCACGTGCAGACTGCGAAACTGCAACGTTCCCAAGCAGAAGTGCAAAGCTGACTTCCCTGAAGATCTTGTCGCTTCTGCAAGCAACAAGGCTATGACGTTCGGTCGGATCGAGTACAAGAGGACGTTGTCTGCACGCGTGTCCTGAAGATAGTCAGAAGGTGGGATCGGAAATAGAGCATCATTGCATGACATAGCATGCTCCTGTCATGTAGTTTCTGTTCGAAACGTGCTGGATGGGTCAGCTTGTGCCAGCGGAGGCAAGATAGAAACGCCGCGCTGCAAGAAGCCAACACCCTGTGGCATGCATGTTGTATCGCCCTGTCCTTGATCAGGGCGTCCTTAGTTGTGTCGAGCTTGGCTTCTCTGTATTTACTTTCCTACTCTCCTTTGATGCGCTTCTCAAGACTTGGTGCTGACAGCGAGAGTCGTTGCGGGGCGGCTGCTTTTGTCGCTGCTGCTGCAGGAAACCCTGCATTTCTTCGCGGAGAACGGCGCTCTTGGCTGCCCTGCCCTGCAGGAGGTATTGACGATCTGAGTTGGAACTTGCAGAGTCTGGAAGATCTACGTTTTCAAAAGACGACCAGTAAGGATACAAGATGTACTGCCTTGCAAACACGCGCTGCAGAAAGAAGAAATCGAGACTGATCGTGGGAAGCTGCGGATTCAAAGTGCCACTCTGGCCTTGGCAATTGTCTCGCCCTCCACGAAAGGGAAGTAGGAGATATGCTGCCCTGAAGGACACCGAAAAGCTTGTCAAGGCTTGCTCCGGAGAGCGGCTTCGGCAGTCCTTGGCTGGCTGCAGCCTTCACTGCTGCCCTCTGGGCCTCCTTTTTTTCGATCGCAGCTTTGTATTGCTGCCTTGGTTGAAATGAGGCTCTAGCTTTGCCTGCATGGTGAAAGCAGACTCTGGGGTGCTGACGCCAGCTCTCGCTGCATGGACCTTTTGCTCTGGTCCGTTGCCTGTATCCAGGCTTTTGCCGCGGACCGGGGTCTTTAAGCTGAGGTCCGGCCTTGATGCCCTCGCTTTTGACACGATCCTCTTCGATCAGTTTCTGCACCAACTCTCTTGAGTTCTTCCTTGCTAGTGCCTCCGAGGCAGACATGATGCAAGTTTTGTCGGGCCGTCTGATAAAAGGCCTTCTGCTCCTTCTTTTCAAGAATGAGCTGCTTGTTATCCTCAAGGAGCTCCCTGGCGGACCTCAACTACAAACTTTTGTGGGTGCGTTCTTTTTGATTGACTCCTCGGGGCCAGGGCATGGGAAGTGAGCCATGGCGTCCCCCCTTGAGGGGCCTCAGAGAATGGGCTTACTTGGGTGCTTTGGGTGCTGTTGCATCTTGAAACTTCTCACCCTGGTACACTCTGCCTGGGTAGCAGCTTGGATTCCATGTCTGAAATCGACATCTCCTGCGAGAGGCGAATTCAAACCGAAGAGGTGCAACACCAAAAACTCGATGCACATACAATACAATACAGTTGCAAAAAGAAGCTGACCCTCCACGCCTGGGCCCGGTTTGAACTCCGTGGCGTCTGAGGGTTCGAGCCTGAGTCTGGATCCCGGATTTCAGATCTCTCTTGGCTTCTCGCTGAAGCACCCCGTTCCTTTTCCCGAACAGTGTATGAGCCAAGCATAGCCAAGCTCATTCCGAGTCTCCGGCCCTCCATGCCCGTCAGTCGTGGTGTTTCCCTTCGCACGTCAAGCTTTGATAGCCAGTATTTTATGACACTTGAATGATACTCGATCGGCATTACCATTCATACGGCTCCTAGATGAACAGGACTCAGGTTCGGGTATACTGCAACTTCTGTCTTCTGAGTTTCTCACACACTTTCTCCCTGCCTCATCACGCTCTCGCCAGTTTCCCGCATCGCAGATCGGTCCATGACCGTCGGGCTTGTGGGCATGCCAGGAGGGGTCGAGGGATCTGGTTTCAATCCCCCGAGCCCTGTATCTGTCTGAACCTCATTCTTGCGGCATGCAGCATGGATCTTCCATCGCGCGTCAGCCGTCTGCAATCCGCCGCTACAAGTACCCGCTGTCCAACTCCTTGCTCTTTGCGCTGAAGAGGCCGACACGTCGATTTACAACGTCTCTCCGGCCATGCACATTGAGCCCCGGTTGCATGCCTGAGCGAGCCACCGGCTGTTAAAGTACGGTGCACTATGTTTGACACTACGATGCACAATCTGCAGGTTAGCAGGGCTGAGCAGCACCATAACGCGCTTGAAATGGCGGCTGCCAATCTCATGCTTTTGCACGAGCAGCCAGAAACAATGCCGGGTATGCAATTGACCATATGTTAAGCTGTCGTATGCCCAGAAGCTCATGAACTGTACCTGCCCTGCTCCTTGCATGATACATTCGAGAATTACTCAGTAGAAGCGCAGCTGATTTCAGCTTGGACCCAAAGTGTTCTTCTTCTGGAACATGTCCTCCGCACGAGGGCGGCTGTCTTGCAAGTGGCTATACGCTGACAGCACTCACACACAGACACACACTATGCATGGGGAAGTTGCATGACAGAAGCTGACGAAAAAGAAGCAAACAGACCTCTCCAGCTGTCACCTGCTTAAAGCCCTTAGCCCGGGCTCCAGAAGCTCGCCGAACGGAGCTTGTTGCTCAGGATCTTTCTGCCTGCGAGGGCTTGCCGCACAGTCTCTAGCTGGAGTGGGCTGCATCTAGGAATCCAGGGGCCAAGCGCTAGATCGAAGGATGCAATGCCTCGATGCAGAAAGCAGAGACAGGAAGACGGCTCCACATCTGAGAGAAGCTCAGGACAGAGCGATCTGCAGGCCTGTAAGCCGTTGCTTGCCAAGGGGCGGGTGCGGGGCCTGCAGATGTGCTTCAGTGAGCTGCAAGTCTGCAGGATGTGGCACTGTGCATGAGCACAACCGCAAACTGACGCCCCAACCCCGCATGGAAGATACCTTGGTCGTAAATCTGTGCCGTAGAAACTTCGGGAAGGGACGGCTTTGCGTAGGTTCCCAAGGCAACTAAAGTCCGCACGGGCTGAGGCGGGGCTCTTGCCTGGCGGCCGCGCAAGCAGTGCATGCCGTTTCCGTGCCGTCTTGTACGGGTTTCTTGTAGTGGAGGTTGAACAGGGACTCCACCCCGCTTCAGAGAGGAGTAACCGATAGTTTCGGTCCTGACTCTGGAGCCAGCCGCTTCGGCAATTCGACTAAAGATCTGGGGCTCAGCCCCACGATTTTTGTAGTCTGAGGTTCTGAATCCGGAGTCACCCGGAGGCGCTGCCGTTCAAAGGGCCCGGTGTTTAGTCCGGCACCTGGCTCTCTGTGCATTTTGCGATTGACACTTTCGACAGGCATCGAACATGTATATTTCATGAACAAGCATTCGTCTCGCTCCACCAGCCAGCTTGACTCGCATCTGTCTGGTCGAAGAAAAAGACAGGTTGCTGTTGGCAGTTGTGGGTTCTGGAGACGGCGCGCAAGTGACGGGACCTGCAACGCGCTGGAGATCATCGCTTGAAGCTGTAGAAGCTCCTGATGTCGCAATCCGCAGCAAGGGGACTAAGACTTAGGACATCATGCTGCCACGCAAGTGGACATAGATTCTTCGCACCCATAAGAGTCCTGTGGCGACAGTCTTTCCAGCTGCTGCGGAGTCAAGTTGCTGCCCTGCGGCGGCTGCAAGACGTTCACACTGGAAGCAAGCATTGACAAAGCAGTCGAGCCAACATGAGCCAACATTAAAGCCTGAAGCCCTTTGCCAGTATACCCGCACTTTCTGCACCGTGATGGCACAGTGCATGCGGATGCATGCGGTACAGGTGCTATCAAGCTGAAGCTCGGGCCGTGCCGTTGGACATGAGCTGTTCGACCCTCCGTGGAGTTAGCCGGGGCTCGGCCTTGGATTTCATCTATGAGGACGGCGACACTCAACGCAAGTCATGGAGCCGTGGCACAGGTGACAAGCGGCTTCGACCCGTTTTGTGTGCTCTTGGTGCGCTGCCCCGCCACCACCACCACCACCAGCGGCAGCCAAAGCCGCGAAGTCTGGTGCTTCTGGCAGGAAGCAGCAAACAGCACATACAGTACTGCAGCCACACTGGCAATTCTGGAAACTTAGTTACGACTGATCCTCCCTGAAAGTGGCAAGGTTTTTGTTCGGTCGGCAGAAGCAGCTGAGCTCTGCGTCACTCGGATCAATTCACCTCAGGCCTTCTTGTGGGTCGTCTCCTATGAAGAACATGGCCGGACCAGAACCTGAGGCGAGTGGGTAACCCCACAGAACCATCGCTCAGCCAAGGATCCAGGCATCAGCGCCTACTCAGTACCTGACCGATCTGACCGTTTGATTGCGCTGCAGCCTGATTACTTCAACAGCTTCACGACTGAAGTACACTGACAGTAACAACTCCTGTCCTCGGTGGTCTCCGGCTGTGCTTGAGCGGGAATCCTTCGCTCTAGCACCAATTGAATGGACTTAGACTTGGCATTTTTGTGTCTTTTCACTCGCGTGCTCCTCGCCACCGAGGTCGATGGAGCGTCACTAAGAAGGTCTCCTGCAAAACCTCCTCCTGGACCTCCTGGCGGCAACGGCCAGGAAGGACCCTTGCCCTGCAGACCGCACTTCGAGGTCACGAGGGTGTTCTGCACTACGAGGGGCTTGCTTGCCAAAGTGCTGCTGTGTCCTTCAGGTGGCCGCACTGCTGGCTCCACCTTTTGGGGCTCTGCAACTGCTTGGAAGCTTCCCGATCGAAAGGAAGAAAGCTACTCTTTGTGCCTCCTCGGGGGGTTTGAGGAGATCGTCAAAGGCTGCAAAAGCTGCCAAGTGATCAGCGTCCACAGCCTGGAACTTCAGGAGGCTGTCAAAATCCGTTAGCTTCACGTAGCTTCCGGCCTTCTTCGGCGGCGCCCGGGAGCACTGCTCGAACAGTCGCCTGGCATGGAGGCTCAAAACACAAGAAGCAGCACGCAGGATGATGTCAGCCGCCTGCTGTGGCAGTGCGGCACAATCCAAGTAACAAGCACGTCTTAATGACAGCTGGACATTGAGATTGCTGAGAACTCGCCATGCTAAAACAATCCGGAGTTGCTTGAGGTCGTCCTGGCTGCCACTCATGACAGCCTGGCTGGAGTCAAGAATCCTAGCACATGCCTCGCACCTTGTCGTCGGCTCCTAGAATAATGTCAGCCCACAAACAAGCAGAAAGATACACAAAGAGCAGGACAGATCATCCATAGATAGGTAGATAGGTATAAACAAGAAATATAAATAGGTAGGTAGATAGCATACCACGGTATAGCTTAGCAGCACCAGAGCATAGCAGGACGAAGCTAAGCTATACCATCTTGCTGAAAAGGTGCCTAACCTACAAGATTCAAATGCACATTTCGCTCCTGAGCAGGCGCGCGCAAACACACGTGCACCCGCACCTGCGCACACATACACACACACACACACATGCACATCCATCCATCCATCCATCCATCCATCCGATGGATGGATGGATGGATGGATGAGTGTTTCTACTTATGACTCTTGTACATAAACATATAATATGTAAGTACAAGTGCCTGTATTCCCGTATGCATTGGTGTACGTATGTATGTGCAACGATGAAACGGACGTACTAGATGCAACCTATTCTGGCGAGGTGATTTGTAGACATGCAGGCAAAGGCGGAGCCAGTGTTTGCTTGAGCTTTCTCGCCACGTCCATCCTACCAGTCAGCATGTCACTGCTCCCAGAGCTGCCTGCCGCAGCTTCTCGCCAAGAGACAGGTTGTCCTCGGCCAATTTGCACTGCTTTTGGGGCTGCTAGATGTTATGCTATCGTTCCCACTCTGTAACCGCACGGGTGTACTGGTGCTGTAAATTCAACTGTGGAAAAGGAGCAAGTATGCGCACATCCTGAGCCACCAACGTCAGGGGCCTCCGCTGGAGCAGGCTCCACAGCCTGGGCGGGGGTCTTTCGCATGTGAATCCGGAGCAAACTTCAAGAAGTTGTGAATATTGGCTGGGGCTTGCACTGGCTCCTCCACCGGCGCGCGTGGAAATGCATCGATAACCTGCTTCCAAGGCTTTCGTTGCAAACTTTGCTCGCTTGGCCCGGCCGCAGAATCTGTTGATGACGGTGTAGTGTAATCAATGACGGATGTTGACGGTTGATGGCACTGTGCAAGCGTAAGAATGACAACGAGCAACGCAAGCGTCGCCTTCGCTCTTGCTTCTGAGTACAGCTTCGAGCTTACAACCCACGTCATGCGTGGCACCGCCGTGATTTCGGATTGGTAGACAAGCACGAAGATGTTTCACCACACGCGCACTGCGGCATAATGCGATCCGCACCACTTTGAGGCGGAGTGGACCAACTGCGTTCCACGGGACAAATGGCACTTCGGCTCAGATTACACACCTGCAGCCGGAGAAGTGCCAGCACACTGCGCCTGGGATTCGGCACCGACGAGTGCGGAAGCTTCCTAGGATGGTACTGGGATCACCATTTAGCGGAAAAGGCCAAACTGGCCCAAAGCACTGGTGGGAAAACATGGAACCGTTGGCAAAGCACATAAGCTGGCTGTTTCGTCACACAGGGACATGCCCAAATGTCCTGGCATCAAGGAGCCCTGCGCTATAAGTTTATAATAAGTATATGCTGTGCTGAGAGTTGGGGTGGAACGGTTGTTTTCGACCGAATGGGCAGATGGGCATCCCGTGCGAATATGCGCACTCACCGGTAAAACCACGACCAGCATACCATCCTTCCAAAGACATTTTGTGGAACCTGATGCGGTTGCTGTGTGCAAGTCCACAAAAAGCCGCTCCTCTGATCAGCGCGGGATGGGCTCTTCTGACACAAGGACAAAAGCACAGGAAGACTCATCCTCGCCTTGGCTACGATGCAGGTACATGTGGGCAGGGGAAGTCCCATCGCGCCGTGTCCCGACGCATGAGATCGAAACAGGCTTCTCGGCAGTCCGAGCAGCGACCGTCATCGATTGCCGATTGAAAAGCACTCCTCAGAAGGATTGCACCGGGAATTCTCAAAATTACGTGCAATACGCGCGTAATTCATTCTTGCAGCTCGCACGTAACGGCACATGTGCAAAGGCCAACTGCATCGCTCGGAAGAACACTCTCAGTATCGTCGGTCAGTAGCGGAGAGGCCCTACAGTACAAGTAGAACACTGCCAGCCCGCGCTGGATGGGAAGTCAGGTGTTCTGGAATAGACAGCCCGCACGTCCAAAACATGTATGTATTATGAGTAGATCTAAGTAGACTCTTTGCGCTTTTCCCTCCTCTCGCACAAAGGTTGCTTGCAGACCTTGCAGTATCGCCTCAACATTTGTATTTGACTGATGCTGAAATATGTGCCGATCACAGAAGTCAAATTCTGAACGAGGAGCGCGCCGCTGGACAAGGGACCTTGGAGGTTTGACAGATGCTGCTTTGTATAGCGTCTGTGGGACACTGGCGCATGCCTCAAGCAGGGCTGCAGGCAAGAAGCTGTTGTCGACCCAGTTTGCGGGACTGCCACCCGGGCTTTGTGGTGACACGAAATCTCGCAACATACCTTCGAACTCTGCGCTATCCGGGCGAGGGCCCATTTGAAGACATGAATAGTGTCCTTATCTTGACAAAAAGCGGTGCCTGTACGTTGATAGGCCACGCCTTTGTTCAACTGTCCCCCAGCAGGCACCTCCAGTGCAGGATAGGGTGGAGCAAGTACTCCAGTTGAGGTGACATTTCATTTTTTGGTGGCTACGCACTTGATACTAGAACTATACTGCCGCGGTCCTGGCCATCATTACTGTCAGTGGATTGGTGTGATTGTTGCCTTTCTCCCACATACAAACACTACGGTCATATGATGACGATGACTACGGTATCGATACCGCTATACTATACTTTTGCTGTCATGGCTTTGACTTGTGTTCTGCAGCGTCCGTTTACGATTTTTTCTGCTGTGGCAAGAGAGCGCTGCCTCGCCCAAATCGCTGTCTGTCTCATCGAAAAAGCGTTCTTCCCAGCTGCACTGGACCAAAACGTACCAGCCTCAAGTGAGCAGGAGCTTAGGGATGTTTTGGCTGAGGGCTCACGGGCTTGGGTTTTCGGGTTTCGGGTGCGCGACCGATGATATATGCACCAAACTTCAAGGCCACCAAGGAGCAAACACAAGGAATGGCCATTAACAGTGAAACATAGTACCCGACCTGCAGAATAGACTTTTCGAAAAAAATGCGGACATGTCAATTTCTCTTCCGCTGGATCGCCTCGAGCTGCGCCCTCCGCAGCCGGGTGTCGCCAAGGATGGCTGTCAGTACAGTGAAGAGAGCGTTGGAGGTCGCGCTCATCAGGAGGTTCATGGCTTGAGCGCTCGATCTTAACCTAAGTTAGCCACCGAGCACTTTGTGTGAAGGCAACCGCAAAGAAACCACAACCAATGTTGGCAATCGAACCTCAGCGGCGTCTGGGAATATGCCAGGTAGTAGAGCGAGGGATTCCTGGTGAGGGAAATTCACAACTTTTGGCTCTGCCGGACATCTTCATTCTTCTGTGCGTTGTAGCACTACCACAACATGTTGGAACCATCGCCATCAAGCCATCATGCGTATTCTTGACGGCCCCCCGGAATTGAGGGCAATCTAAACGTTGATTTCAAGAGGTCTGGGGAGCTCGGCGAAGTGTTTCGGAACCATCCAGTGGGGAGAAGCGAAACCGCTTTTAGTTGCAGCCCAGCTGCACCAGAACCTCTGCAGCACCCATTAGAGCATAGGGGCCAACCATCCACCACGCCGACAAACCTGAGGCTTTCCGAACTTGCAAAGCCGAACTGCCTGAGCTCACCCTCAAATGACAATCCCCTGTTCTCATGTCAGAGTTGCTGCTCATCATTCTCCCAGGCGGTGCGCATTGGGAGGCCTTCTGGCGGTTTCTACCACAGGACGAGTGAAAAAGACTCTGATGGGACCTAAAGGTCGACAAACCTGCCGATCCCGTGTCGCATTGCTCTTCGAAGCTTCGCCTCCTGGAGCGGGCGAGCGTGGCGGCGCATGACCTGCGCAGGAAGGACATGCCTGCAAAGCATGAAGTTCGGTGCCGCACACGAGATGTCTGCCGTGATGCATGTGGATGAGCACATGTGAACACGTCGCAAACTTCATCGGCTGTCTCCGGGCCCTCGCCAAAGCACCTCGAGATGCGCGGCCGAAGCCACCGATCCGGCGGCAAGAGCAATTCCCAGCAGCAGGCGCCCATGTCGGCCAACACCACAGAACCTCTCAAAAGAGATCTGCAAAAAAGACTCACTTGCCCAAAAACCAACGATCCACTGAAGTCGGCCTTTCCAGTGTTGGGTTGATGTACTGCAGCAACACAGGTGTCAGCAGCACTATTGCTATGCAGTCGGCCACGTTGAAGAAGGACCCATTTAGCTGAAACTTGCCGAGGCGGACATCCATCAAGCAAGCTTGCTCCTGCCGGGATAATCTCAAAACATTGCTTTTTCTGGTGGCCGACATTCTTTGGAATCTCATTTCCAAGGCAGGCTCCTGGAACCAATAGGTCATGCAATTGTAGAGGCTGTTGAAAGCCAGATTCACAGCAGCCAATGTTGGCATCACCCGCAGGAAGTCTGCCGTTTGCTGTCTTGTGACATGGCTGTTCCGCTGTGCTCGTTCATGGACCCACCTTAGCAAAAGCTCTTTCACTTGCAGGCTCAATTTTTAAAGTCTTTGCCTCTGTGCGTCTTGTAGTCTCTGCCCAGGCACGACAAGTTGCCTTGGCAACCGATCGTGGCCAGCACCAAACCTGGCCGAGCCAACACAGCACTCATCACATGGTGCAGAGCACCCGACGTAGAAACTGTGAACCCAGAGCTGCTTGGACAAGATCTGTGCAACTCGAGTTCAGACCCGACGGCTTCGACACCGAGCTATAAAAGGTGATAGAGGCGATCTGTGCCCTTGCAGCACAGAGAGCAGCCCCGAGCAGCGCAATGAACAGAGCCGTTCTTCAGTCGACCAAGGACACCGTGTGACTTGGCTCGTGCCTGCCTCACGTGTCAGCTCATGCAACCCGAGCCTGCCAGCACGGCGACGGCGCCAAGGACACCTGCCGGGGTCTCAAGCCAGGCGCGAGGGCTTGCGACTCCGCACGAGAAGACGGAAGAGGCCGATGCCTATGCCGATGCCGGGTCCGGGGAGCAAAGCGATGACGACTGTGAGGAGCAGACCCAGCAAGAGCAGAGGAAATCCTCGGGTTTCGAACTTCCTTGCCTTCGTATCCGTATGCCTCGTATAATTTCCCATTACCATTCGGCCTGGGTTTTTCGTTAATCGCGTAATTACTGGAAGTGACGGGCACGTCGCAGCAAAAGCTCCCTGAGGTCGCGGCCCACACAGATCATGAGAGCACGTAAAGAGCCGTGAGATGTAGCTGACACGACGTGTAAGAACACTCCGCGAATTGCATCACCGCCACTGTTTCGTCGAACAAGGCACCTCCAGAAGCTTCAGACGGACTGCTGAGCTTGCAAACTGGCCTACTGTGCACTACCGCGTGCCTGTAATGGCCACTGTAGCAAAGGAAGACCAGCAAAGCCACGAGCATCGCGAGGAAAGCCAAGAAGTAAGCTGTGCAATATCCCATTTCTGGCGGCACGACCCCCGGAAAGCCACTGGAGCAAAGGGTCGTCAGAAAGCCATAGGATAGGAGAGCCCCAAGATTGATTGCCGTGTAGAACTGGGTGTAGAACTCTTCCCTAGCCTTCCGCCCTTCAGGACCTTAGAACAGACAGTCTTTCGCAACCGCAAACTGCGTGCTGCTGCACTCTTGGCAGGACCACAATCTTCCAATCGCTTGTGGTGCCAAAGCTACTTCGTGAGTCAAACTGGTCGGCACCGAAGTTGGAGATGTTGGGCTTGATGCCTCCTGTACTGTGCAGAACATCGCAGCATGAATCGCGATCAATCCCACTTGGACGTCCCGCGCCTGTACCCAAAGCGAGGAAACCCATGGAACCGACCAAGTAGTTCGTAACATCTCTGTTGCTGGGAATGGCGGCGGTCGCACAAAGAAGCACCTTCAGATGAGCATCGCCGAAGTTGTTGGGAGCACGACTCGAAACACCACAAGTAGGAATGGCGAGGATCATGGGCCAGCAGCTGGCAGAAACTGGGCCGCCAGCTCCAACTAGGTAGAACACCGTGAAAGCGATAATGGTATGGTACCGGCCCAAGTAGGCATCAGCGACGTAGCCGCCAAGCCTCGACACACAGAGCAGATACGGAATATGCACATCAGGGGCTTTGGTAACAAATCAGGAAGGGCGGCGTTGGGAACACCTATCATCTTCGTGCAGCTGATTGTCAAGGGCCAAACGTAGCACAAGGTCGTGAAAGCAGAGTTCAAGCCAGCACTCTCCTGAGCGCTGTAGCCCAATTGCTCGAGGAAGAATTCTTGACTGCCAGCCAGCGCCTTGTGTTGCAAACTCTTCTTGGTAACAATACTGGAGCGTCCACATAATCCCCGTACTACACAAGCACTTCTCGGCACAGAACAGCCGAGTCTTATAAACAATGCAAACTGATGGAGGTCATGACCCTGGTCATGACAACCGGACTTCGAGGAACCGTTAAGAACGCTTTGAAACAATTTTGCATAGTAAATGTCCCAGGGACATAGTAGCAAAGCCTTTCTGCCAGCTCCACCACGAGGATTGCGCTGCATACGGCCCGTAGAGTCTCCCCCTGCGGACCTGTGGATGCCCGAAACTCTCGGAAAACTGCATAGGCATTGCGTAGAAGTGAGCGAAGCACAGCGAAGCGTGAGAAGTTTAGATGTGTCAAAGAAGTTCACCTAATTAAACAGCTGTTTTCTGCTCCAGTGCTGCTGGGCTTTGCCTGCACCCAAAGTCTCCGTCTTGTTCTGCAAGTCATTGTTTGACCCTCGTGCAGTATACCTACCCCTGCGCACACAAAGCTGGCACGGCAGCTTCCCCCCAGGCGCCTAAGAAGGGCTTGCGACGGGGTGGTTCAAGACGAGGTCTTCGAGCTCCCTGAGCTATCAGAATTGAATGCCATGGGCTACATACTTGGCGGGGGCATCACACATCGCTGCAAGCAAGCATCGACCAAGCCAGCATCTGACTCATCCGGATGCATCAGTGCAGCCCGGAGGTGCCATCGTTAGAGCTCATGGCATCGCGACTAGGAAAGTCTAGGATTACATGCCCACGTTTCTTCAGGCATCCTTCCAGCACACAACAATGTCGAACATCGCTCGAAACCGCAGCTCAATGAAGATGTCACAGATATTCAAAGTCTCAATTTGCGCATGATTTAGGCTTTATTGCAGGGCCTTCAGCACAGCATGGGCCCTGAGCCGAAATGAATTCCTCTGTGGACAGCCTTGCTGAAGTTTGACGCAGCTTCGGAGCTCGCCGCCCCCTGCTCTCGGTGCCAGCTCCGCTCAAACAAGGTAGCGCGGGGAGCCTCTGGAACTGCGGCTGCCGCTTTTGGAGGCGAGGAGCCTGATTCTGGAGTTCCCACCATGTGGCGGGTGCAGGTGACAACTGGAATCGGGTGATCCAGGTGTCCACGGCCGTGTCAATCGTGCCGTGTCAACTCCCAAGTCTCGGCTTCCAGCCGAAGTCCAAATCTATCAGCCCAGCTCCCGCTCCAAGGTCCACGGGCGCCTGCCACAAAAGCTTATACGAAAAAAGGGAGCCAGAAGCCCCAAAGCCCTATAGGCCCTAAGAGCCTTTGGTGCCAAGTTGGACACGTTGCTGAAATCCGCTGTCCACGGCTGCTCCTCTGACGGACAGGAAGCTCGTGAAAATCCCCCATGCTCCACACACCTCACGCCGGTCTACTGCTCCGCGCGGCGAGATGACGACTGGAATGGGCATGGAGGGAGAGATCAATTGCATGAGGGTCCTCGCTCTGCCCCAGATCTAGGCCGCCCAGGAGATCTGAGACCTTAGAGGTAATCCAGCCCAAGGCACAAGAAGGCATTCAGGTCGCAGCTGGAGCGCAGCTAGTTGGGCTTGTGATTGCTGGCCGTCAAACCCTGCAATGCCCTCCTCAACACTTTTGACCAAAACCTCGTTACCAGCACAAGCTCCCGAGCTCGGCTGGCCAGGACTGTAATAATTCAAGCTATGAGAGAACGTAGTTTTTGAAGGAATGTCAGGCTTCCTCCACGAAGAGGTCTGGTGGCAAAGTGATAGTGCGGACAATTCGTACCACTCACACCTCGAACTGACGCCATGCTGACGTTGTAGTTGCTCAGGTATTGCAGGGTGGATTATGCAGATTCACGAGAACATGCCAGCAAGGCAAGATAACCGAGAAAGGATGTACAATGCTGATGCATTTCATACCTGCAAAAGCATAGTGGGAAGGACTACGGCGTGCGGTCCAGCTGAAAGTTTAGTCTCGAAGCATTTTATGCGAGAGCATACGGACGCGGGTGCAGAGGAAAGTTACTAAAGGGCTGCTCTTCAAAGCTTCAGAAGAAACATGCAGGCATTGTCAGCGACCATGCGCGAGAAGCAACCTCAAGCACATGGCAGGATCTACCGTGAATTAGCACGAACCCGAGGATTGCAATCGATGCAATATGCCTTGAGATAAAGGGCTCGCCCATTCCTCAGCAGAAAAATGCATGTATCCATGTCCGAGAACTGGACCTCTGCTTTGGCAACCGAAGCCTTAGGGGCCACAGCTCAGCGGCATCGACTTGCGCTTATCTCCATCTGATATCAGCTGGTGGGGCTTCTCTGATTTTGTTGCTGGGCAGCGCAGCAAAGTCCAGGCAAGTACATATCATCTACCTTCAGTCTACCGATGGCCCAAGCAGGTGGGCAAACACGATGAAAGGCTGGGTCCTGCACGGGTGCCTTTGCTGGTGTTGGATCGGGATCTCCCCCCGAAAGAAGGTCTACGGTCTGGCAGAGATGTCGCGCATTATGGGTGGTGCATCAGCCGCCACACTCCGAACGGGGTGTGTTTGTTGGGATCGGCCCCCAGTAACAGTAAGAAACTACTTTCCTTATATATATATATATATATATATATATATATCCCCCCCCCCCCCCAGAATAAGCACAATTGTTTGGAGGCCTCTGGAGTTCCCGTTTTTTTGCGGGTCCCAACTGTTCAGCAGGCTTGGGAGTTCGGGAGCCCAGGCATTGGATTCCAGAATTTGGCATTTGGAGTTTCCAAATTCTTTGGGGCCCAACTGTTCAACAGATTGGGGCATTTGCAGTGTCCAGTATACAAATCTTGGGGGCCCAACTGTTCAGCAGGTTTTTGATTTCGGGAACCGGGAGTTCAAATTCCAGAATCTTGCACCGGGGCTTCGGAACTCCGGTTTTAGGCCCCGAGATTCCGGATTTTGGTTTTGGTCTGGTTTGGAAGAATCCAGTCCCAGCCAATCAGGCCCAGCAGCCCAGCTTTGAATCGTACGAAAATCCACACCGCTGTTTTAATAGGAGCTCTTCCGACTCCCCGGCACCAAGCTCAGCAAAGCATGTGGTGTCAGCCCTTCCAGACTCAGGGATCTTGTTCATACGTCCAGGAAGGTCCGACCTGAATTATACCCTACATATATATACACATACGTACATTCACATCTGCACATATAGACTATGCGGATATTGAGTTTCTATGTACGTGTATCATAAAATGGTAGGGGCACCTTCTAGCTGATTCTAGCTCTTGCCAACTCAAGCACTTCGGAAGCTCGAACTTTTGCCTGCGAAGGTGCGGAAGGCGGCGCAGCAGCTTCATAGCCAACCTTTGCGAACAAGGTTCAGGTCTGGCAATGCTTCGGCACTCAGCTAGCTGACAGTAAGAATTGGACACAGCTGAATTGTAGCCGCAAAAGCAGCAGCAAAGTAGTACCACGATGACGCCGTTGTTATGACCACTGAATTGACCAAAGTATTACAATTTACAAGCAGTGTTGACTTTTCATCCCGCTTTCAAGTAACCTCCCTGAGATGCTGCTTTGAAGCCCCGCATACTGGTCTCCGAGGAGCCGTTGCAGCAGGCGTCTCAGGCCCAGCTGCCTGCAGTCGCCAAAAATTTACAGGTGAATGGACATGATTGGATCAGGCGTCGTGATGCGTCGTGCCTTGATGGTCTCTGAAGTCTGCGCTTTGCCGTGAGGTCGAAACCTATGCCAAGCAGGTGACGCGCATAAATGGAAGAGAGCCTCCCGATTTGTCAGGCAAGGCCCCGGCCATTTCTTCTCTACGTATTTTAATCTGATGAACTCTCGCAATGCTTCCTGCACAGGGCGACAGCTAGAAAGCCAAACGGTTCTGATATGTTCCAAGCAACCCTCGCCCGAGGCTCGACACAGCTTGTCACGATTGACCACCACAGGGCGCACGTGTCTCTGACTTGCAGCATGTACAGGTGGGAATCGATGTCTACGATCATAGACGACCGCACATGTCAGCGTTGGACTTCAAGCTCGACAGACAGCCGTAGAATTAACCATGGCTGCCTCGGGCATCTTGCAATTGCCTGAAGACACCACTATGTACCAAGTAACTACATCCCGAAGCTGCTGAGTTCAAGCCCTTCAATTGCAACACCGGATCTGTTCGGTCCACATCGCCGCCATCTGGTTCCGGGAAGGCTTCGGCATGCCACCTGTCAAGCCTTGACGAGTCCAACTAGGCATTGAAGACATCACAACCGTTGCTTCCCATCACGCCAATCGCGCGGCTGGGCAATCTGCCACTTTGTGCGGGCTGCTTCATTCCCGCCCTCCTCCAGCTTGGCCACCTTCGAAACCGCAGAGCATAGGACGAGACCGGACAGAAATGATCTGACGAACTCAATCAACGACCAGCTAAAGTACGCCTTGCTATGCATCCTAAGCCCTTGAGCTTCTTCAAACAGGTTCACGAGATTCAATTGCAAAGATTGCGGTTACTGTTGGGGCTGCTTTGCTGCATGCCCGTAGAAAGCTCAAGGGGACCAGCACATTTAGAGGGCCCGCCCGACTGGAGGAAAGACTCTGTCATGTTTAGGGTGTCGAACTGGCGTTTATCCAACCCCCCAAACTGAGATTGAACCACACCAGGAGGCGGTCTCTGCCGAGGAGGCCACCTCAGCCTCGCTCCACTCCGAGAAGGAAATGCTTTTGATCTTGTGGCCGAACCTGAAATGCAATCATGTCTCCTGTTGTTACGAGGAAGAGTGCAACCAGCGCTTCTGACAGCATTCGTTGCAAGCTCGTTGTCTCGGAAGACGGCTCCCGGTGAAGACCACAGCAAGTCTGGCAGACGAATACCATGAAATCCAAACCTCAGGGCACAAGGCAAGTACAACACAGCTGGGAGCGGCTTGAAGCCTTGGCAAATCTGAGCAACTGCGGGCCTTAACATCTCACAACTTGCGCAACCTGAACCGTCTTAGAGTCGGGTAAGAAGATGCGCAGCTGCTGAACTTCCACGATTTGGATCTAATGAAGCAGCACGATGATAATAGTTATGGCAGAAGCCGGCCGTACCAAACCCGCGATTCGCACCCCAACGACGAGTTGACTGAGTTGACTCAACACTTTCAGAAAACCCCAATCTGAAGACCCGAATGCTTGTAAGCCAAGTCTGTCTGAGGAGGCCGAGAGCGAGGCAAACGTACGTGGGTCCACGCTCGGGACAGTCCGCGCATCGTTTGTTTGCCTGGCACTCCCACGCACGCACACAAACACAGAGACACACAAACACACGCACACACAGGTACACATATATTTAAATATATAAATATACATGTGTGTATGTGAATGTATGTATATGTATGTAGGCAATCCATGCATGTATGGTTTGTATGTATATGTATATACCTATGCATACTACGTACAGTATTTCCACCAGCACTCGGAAAACCCTTGTTCGCCTCGGCCCCGGCCCGGCCGAAGCGGTCAGAGGTTTCTACAGGTCCAACGGTGAAATTTCGTTTCCTCCAATGGATTTGGGCTTCCTGTAGGGCAGTTTCATTTGACTTTACCTTAGCTTGCTTCTTTTTCCGTGGTGCTGGCCCCCGCCACCCCCCTCCCCTCAGCCCCCCCGCCCCTTCCTCCCTCTTCTTCCTCCCCCCGCTAGACAACCGCGCGCTTTGATGCCGAAGACATGCGTAGAGGTCATCTGTTGCACACCGGGTCTGTAAGGTTTCTGCGCCTGAAGGCTCCTTCGGTTGGTGAACCCCGACTCCACTCGCACTGCTTGCTGACCTTCCGATGCCATGGCATGCGAGCTTCATGCTCGCACCAGAGGCAGCGCTTTCTCCCCATACGCTGCGGGTTTGGGGCTTACGCTTTAAGCTTTACGCTCTCGCAACTCGGACAAGCCAGACGAGGTTTCTGAATTCGGGTTTAAGCTTTAGGGCCTTTGGGTTTGGGGTTTAAAGTTTCGGGTTCAAGGCCTATGGGCCTTTGTAGGCTTTGGGGTTGCCAAGTGAGCGAGCGAGTGAGTAGCGGCACCGGCGGCATCCTTCTGCTTCTTTTTCTCCTGCTGCGCCTCTCGCTTGGCCTTCGCATCTTTGCTGGTTTTCTGCCTGGCCACCTGAGCTTGCTGACGGGCCTGGAACTTCAGCCGGAACTTGTCCAGTACCTCCTCTGGAACGCCGACATCTTTCGCGTGCAGGAAGGCGTGCTTCGTCACCTTGCTCCCTGCCAGCCTCAGCTTCTCTTGCTTCTTATGTTTCGGTGCCTCCTCGGCCTCCGCCTCTTGCTCGATCTTGTCTGAAGCCGGCAAACTGGATGGACAAGCCATCAATCCTGCCAGCCGTAAAGCAAATCAACCAGCTGTGTCTTGTTTAGATGCACCTGTCCTCCCAATCTTTGTATGTCTGCGTGGGCTTTCTTGTTCTTATTCTTATGCGAGGACCTTTTTCCCAACTTTTCCCTGTCTGGATCGTAGAGGACAATCGGCCCGGGTCCGTTCTGCTGAGCGTATGCAGCGAGAACTGCCTCGAACCGCACAGAGATCCACGTGGCGGACATCATGATGCTCCGGCCAATGTCCGTAGCGCCTGCACGGCGCTTGCTTCAAGGTGCTCCACGATGACTTTCAAGTCTCTGTTTTCGCGGCGCAGGCGGGACGTCATTTCTTGGATTTTCTTGGTGAAGGGGGCGCGAGAATCCCAGCTCCGTTTGCCAAGTCGATTGCTTGAGCCAATATGGCTACGGACTCTTAGGGGTGCTGCTTGCCGAAACAATGCGCCTGCTTCAATCACAGCCACACCGAGGAGGACGACGCGAAGCGTTTAAAACTATTCTTATAATGCCGCATCGACTGTACCAAGGACTTGTGTCAAGGAGGTTTCAAATCCATTGTCAAATCCCTGCTGGCAGGTCTGGTAACCCGTTCACACGGAGCTGCAGGGCCTGATTGCTTCTCTGGAAGGCGCGCAGCCTATCCACAAGGCTCAGCCCAACCTGGAGTGCATCGTCACACAGTTAGCACAGGCTGCCGGACACATTTTCCCAAGGCTGAAGATGACATCTGAGCACCGGATCTGTGCCCTGCTACATCGAGCAAAACAAAGGCTGCCATAAGCATCCCGGCCTTGTTGGGTGCCATGCTGCACAAATCGATGAACCTTGGCTGTGGACATTTAGACACTAGGTCACTGGGTCACCAAGGTCTCACACCAACTCCGAAACACAGTACCTGTGCCTCCAATGCTTCATGATTCTCTTAGACTACACATACCCTTGCAGCAGGGCAAATGAAAGAAGTTGGGATCGACTCGGCAACTAGGTGCAAAACGAATTGACTCGGCTCGTCCGCGGATTCTCGCTTGAGCCGAGGTCTGCACGAGGTGGGCGAAATCTCAAAGATGACATGACTACATGACCCTTCAGCTGAAACGAACCGAAACGGTGAGAGCCTGGACCAGTGAGGATTCTCCTTACATCAGCTCAGGCAATGTTTTGCTTGTCCTGCTGCTTCTCACGCAGGTGGACCTTTGCCACCCACTTCAACAGGGAGTGCACCTGTACAGCTGCGTGCATCTTCACCCGTTGTGATGTGCAGTCTAGCTCAGCGACCACAATGACGATACATCTACATACATAATCTGATACTGAACCAGTGGATTGGACATCTGTAGTTGGTGGGTTATCCCGTCATGCAAATAGCAGCATGCTGAGCCACATTGGGCTGAAAGCGAATGCCGCAGGATGGTGACGAATCTTCTGGATGCAGGGTTACATCAATACATCGACAGACGTCGCGGCCGAGCGAAGGCCGTCGGAGGAGCGGACTCCTCTGGCTCTGTAGGCTCGGCCGGCGGGGGCGCAGGTGTCGGTGCTGGTGCGGGTCGCCTGGAGGCCAAGGCGTCGGTACGAGTAACATTCCGAAAGATGGAGTGGAGCGAGCGGAACAGAGCGGAGCCTGCTCTCTGCTGGTTCGACCATTTTCTTTGTCGACGACCTGCATCAAAAGCAAGGGACGCGCAGCGCTCCGCACGTACTGTCTTGACGGAGATTCGGGAACTCTTCGGGGAACAACTGCGGGGAACGATGGTTTCGGCAAAACCTCCCACTCTTGAGTTTGACACACTCTAGATTGAAGAGGAGCCAGCGCGTTTCCCAGCAAACAAGACGGGCCTGAATATTCCCGCAACGGGAGAGTCCTTTGCACCTGAGATTGTGGAGCAAAGCAATTTGCATTTGACCGAATGTGACCAATCTGCCACACAGAGCCCTCAAACTGGCGAAGTCGTTTGCTTGGGCGCGTGCTTTCTGAATGGTCCGCCAGAATAACCTTGAGCTGTTCCTTGTGCAGGGGGATACTGAAAACGTTCATCCAAGAACAACGCATGCTTTAATCTCACAACGAATCGGCAAGAGCGCCGGAGGGGCGAATGAGACAGAGAGGGGGGAGGGATAAGGACTTTTCTGGCACTGTCTGTTGAAGGTGCTCGCTGCACGCTCGCGCCCGTGCCTACTTTGTCCCTACGTGTAGCCATCGGCTAAGCAGGCTGAGACTGAGACGCCCTGCGGCTGTCCCGAAACCGCGGCCATGCGAGAAGCTCAGGACGCTTGAACTGAACAATTTCGAGCGAGGAATTAGCATCAACACAATATGGGTGATGTAGACTCTAAATAAACCCGACATAAAGCCCTGCTTCTGGGACCACAAAAGTTGTAAAGCAGTGGAAGCAGGAAAATGCGCAGGCCCTGCACATGCAGACGAGGACTGCTGCTTCCTGGGTCAAGCTAGGCTTGCCTGCATCCAAACGATGCGTGGCCATTGGAGCCCCCCAGTTGGAGGCTGAAAATCTGGCATCGAGCTTAAGACGGCTGAACAGCCCGATGCCCAGCGATGAACTTGTACAAGCCTCGCAACAGAGTCAAGAGAGGTTCAAGTGAGCGCACAAGACTCAGTTGCAGCTTGGAAGTTCGATCGATGATTGCCAACCGAGCGACTCTGGAGCTTCTCATCCACCGGCTCCCCAGCCTGCAATCCGAATTTGCATACTAGCATCGACTGCACCCACACTAAACTGGATGATCGCGTCGACAGCTTGCCTCTTTCTCGCGGAGCGAGCGCATGGCCTCGCCAAACTGCCGCTCGTCCAAGACCCTTCGAATAGCTGTTGCCAGCGACTCCGGCGACCTGACCACATGGTGACTTCAAGTTACGCAAACCCCAAGAGACCAGCAACCGATTCTGCCACGCTACACTCTATCCAAGTCGGGTCGAAACTGCTTGTCGCTGGTCTTGGCGGGAACATCAACGTAGGACTGCCTCGAAACGCTTGGGTTTCTTCAGCATCCTTAAGCTCTATTGGGCTGCCATGTTGCGAAGTCGAGGGACAGTAGCCCGCAGCCAAGACTGATGAATCGGTGTGCATTCAGAGGTTGATCGCCGAAAAAAGGTGCAGCAACCACCGGAACCCCTGGCAGGCAGGGGCCGGGTGGGCATGGAACAATGAAACATGATCCATAGCAGTCTTGGAGAACTCTTTTGCCCAGGTCTTTCGGAGTCTTTCGCCTGCCAAGACGGCCTCGCTGGAGCTGTTTTGACCGCAATGCCTCGGGCTTTCGGAACTCGGGTCCTCTCCAATCTGCGCTGTTTTGCTGCCAGCTTGCAGCCAGCGACCCTGAATTCACTGCCAAGGCTCGTTACAAATGCGCTTGCCTTCTCGAGCAGTGCCAACTGGTCTAAGCTCCTCCGCGCTTTGTGCGGGGTGCTCGGCTTCCTTTTTGAGGTGGCAGATGCTCTCGCCTTCTCCCTTCGCTGCAAGGCCGACACTCCAAACGCGACTTTGCCTAGGCCTGGGCGGTTCTATAAGACGTAGCTCTAAGTTTACTCACGAATCTTACGGAAGTCCAGCTGTTCGCTGCTCCTGGCGACGACGACGTTGCTCGGCACCGGTTCGCCAAAGAGGCTCGTCACACGGCCGCCTTCCTTGGAAGTGTCGCCAGGTCCGAATACATCCAAAAAACACCGAGCTTCTGCCGCTGCCTCCACAAGATCGGTGCTCTTGCCAGCTGATAGGACCTGTGCGCAGTCGGGATCTCTCTAGCCCTTTACTGGCTTAACATACATGTTATTTTTTTTGAATCTATTCGCTCCCCAAAGCGTGAGATCCAAACAGGCGTGTGCCCTAGATGACAATGTACCCCCGAATTCAACAAGCCCCCCCAAATCAAAGGTCCTCGTTTCCCAAGCCAGGTCGCCAATTGTACGTCTGGAAGCTCCTTTTGAAGCAGGACGGCAGCTCTGCAGAGCTTCTGAAAGAAGTCGACCACTGCCTGTGTGTCGGGGCAGCCAGATGTCAGTCCAGAGACTTGATGCTGCCTTATTTACGAGTTCTTCTAACAAGGACACTTCTGATTGGGGTCCGTATCAGGGTCGCCTAGCTTTCGGAAACTCGCACATGAAACATCCCAGACTGACAAATCAACCTAGTAGCATGTCAAACACCTGGGCACTTGCTGAGAATGTAGCCAGGCCACAGCACCAAACTTGCCAAAAGCGTCGCCTGTGGCGATCGTTCCCAGGGAGCACAACCTTCAGGCTAACCACGAATCTGCGAACAAGCTACACGCACGAGTTCCGCGAGTCTTGCTTGTGCTGCCCAGGTGCACCAGGCGTCCGGAGAGGTTGCACAGCGTCGTCGACACTGCATCTGATCCGACCCTTGGCCGTCCGGTGAAATTCTGTGGGATGCCCGTGCTGCAAACTCAATACTTGAACCAGTTTGTCGTCTTTCCGCGCTTCATGCAGTAAAGGCGGCCCGCTGGCAATGCCCTTGCGCTGGGATGTCAAAGGCCCCCAGTCTTGGCTGGAATCTGTGCTGTCAGTGTTCGACATGTATGGCGAGCTCCACAATTTCCAGTACAGTGCATGCTGAGTTGCAATGGAACTGCTCCGGCGGAAATTCCGAACTATGTTCATGCCAGAATCGAGAACACCAAACGATGTTGTAGTCGCTGTAGCCTTGCTGCCAGCGCTCTTCAACAACCGCCCAGGTGACGCCCGGAGATGAGAGATTGACCCAAAGATGGCAACAACAACGCAACCGAGCCACAAGTGTATGCATAGTTGTGATTGAACTTTAGCCCGTATTTTTCAGCCAGGACTGCTGAAGTTGCGTCGAGAACTTGCCTTCCCGGCTCGGAGCGCCGACCTAGCATCAGCGCCACTGATGCTTGGCGTTTCAATGATGCCTGACATTTGCTTCCAGCCTGCAAAAGCTAAAGCCTCTGCAAGGCTAAGGCCGGCTCTGCTTTCTTTCTCCCTGTCTGCCATGGGCATTGGCAGGGCTGACATTGAGCACCTTTGACGCTGGGCTCCCCCGAACATGCCCACGAAGTTTTCTAGAGAGGTTTGTGAAGTCCTTCTCTGATCTTCTCCGAGCTGCACTGCTGGGATCTGCATGTGCTCGGCCAGAAGGTAGCCGAAAGGTGCTGCTGCATCGAAGCAAATGAAGCTTGGCTGCAGCTCAGACATCCCTTAGCTTCGCGATCAGCTGACAGTAGCCGCGCGGGTCATAACTTATAATCGATAAAGCTGACGCACAGATGGGACAGCTAGGATGCTCGGTATCAGGTATGGCAAGATCTCCAGCGTGGCTGGCACCACCGCAAAGGGCATGATCTTCTGTGGATCCTGGGCTGGCTGCAGCTTGGCCGAGTAGGCCACGACAGGGTTTGTTCATTGATGGGCACCTTTCGGACCCTGAGCCTAGAAACCCTGGAACGCCGGCTGCCTGTGCAGATTTCGAGTGACTGCCGATCAGCAACTTGCAAGGTATGCATGGGAAACCATTAAGATCGTCAGGCAAGGACAGAAAGCACAAGCAAACACTGGAGAGAACTTCCGAAGGAAGTCAAAGTAGAATGACGCAGCAGGGTTGCGCGTGGAAAATTTTACTATCGGCTGAACCGCCACAATCAACAAACGCCGGAGAGTCTGATATAAACGGGACATCTCGGCGACAACAACCATCTGACTTGAAGCCAATGATGCATCGTTTGGGCAGCTTGGACGCCGGGAGCTTCCACAAAGACTCAGAAGAAGTTCAGTGGCGTCCGGAGTGCGTCTGGAAGCCTAGCTGGGGCCAGCCTTTGGCAATTGGAATTGGGGTTCAGAATACAACCGCGAGTTTTTTTCTCTCGGGCTCCTTCCGGAGATCGAGTGCAGGCATAACGATGATCTACACTCAATCATGACACAACAGCACTGGTGCTCTGACTCGTCCATTAGGCGAGGATCGAGCTCCATGGGAACTTCCAACCCAAGCTCGGTGCACACACGGATGGCGCTCTCGTAGAGATCCCAGTTCTCCGAGCCAAAGTGAGACCACGTCGCTCCTCCATGGGGCTTTGCACTTCCGATGCTGAAGGCTTCATATTTTCAGCTCTCGATTTTGCAAACGAGGTCCTACTCCCTCTACCTGCATGCGTTTGGACTTGGGCACGAAGAAGGACACTTGCCAGCCCCTCTCTGTCAAAGACCTGGGGGAAACAGCAGCAGACAGGCATCACTTCAACGGAAAAGCAAGACAAGTGACTCGGCAAACGCCAACATAGGGTTGATATGGCCCGCATCTTCTGTGCAGAAGAAAGCCGCAACTTTGCGGACCTCCTCCTTGCTGCAATGCAGGCACATGCCATCGCCCATTGCACAAAATGTAAAACCGAAAGTTATATGATACTAGATACTTCTTGCAAAGGCTCCTCGGAAGGGGGCTTTGCAGTTGCCTGTATCCTTAGGCATCAGATGCATCAGCTTGGAAGCTGCCTCCCTGTTTCGTCGGATACCAGTTCGGGCACTGAGCTCTCAACAGTCCCATGAGCTGCCTGGAATTCGGCAACCAGGTCTAGGCTCTCGCCGAGCCTCAGCGGCTTTTGCCAATTATGCTGCCAAATGGGCTGCCGAACGGCTCCTGCTAATGGGGTCCGAATCAATCAAGGCAGGTTGGACGTGGCCAAACTGCTCTGACAGTAGCAGAATGCTCGTCGAGCTTCAGGCTTGCTGAGCGTCAATCAGATCCAGGGAGTTCAACACACAAACACACACTTGTGCAATCCTCCCTCTGATTGTTACTTCTCCTATTGCCAGAGGTATATAAAGATTTGAAGCCATCCGGCAGGAAGTCGTCGTCATGGGCTAGGTTTCGGGCCCAGTTTTCCCATAGAAGAATAGGTTTCGGTTCTTCCTTCCAGACCCAAGGAATGGAATGTGTTGAGGGATTAGGGTCCCGTCCCTTTGTGTCGTCGTCTTGCCAGACACCCGGATTCACATGTTGCCATCTGCAGAGTGCAATGCTGATGACAACATGTATGTAGCACATTATAGGGATTAGGGCGGGTCCTGTCCCCGTTGACGATACCAGCTGTGGACGAGGCCACCCAGGTACTCCCCATAGCAGGTACGTTTTCACGTCTGCTTACTCATGGTCTTCGTTGGTCCCAGCATGAGTAGCAGACCTGGCACCCCTGCATTTTGACACACTCACATCAGGTGGGCATTGCCCTTGGTAACAGGGTTCCTCTCACACACACACACACACACACACACACACCAGTACACACACTCTGTGCAAGTTTTTTAGCTATACGTGCGCCACCATATATCCGACTGCCATAGCAGGAAACGTGCTGAGCGTGTTGACGCACGAGTGCGCCAACTTAGCCAGGAATGGCACGAGATGCCACTCCCTCGGTCTTCCTCCGAACATTTGTTGTCCAATCATGCCGCCCCGAAACCTCATACAGCTCCAACCCTGCTGTGCCATGTTGAACTTGAGTCTCTGACGCTGGAAGCCAGGCCAACAATGTGGTGCAGCTGGCCCGAGGCAGCTACTTGTAGCATGCACCCTACGCCTCTACTAATTACTGCGTGTGTGTGTGTGTGCAGTATAGTGTGAATGTATGGGTCTCCTGCTGGGCACATGCCTTTCTGCAAGCTTCTGAACGCAATATCAATTGTCCAGTTCATGCTGGCTTCTCTAACGCAATGCACCGACCGATATCTAGCACTGGGAACCTCACTACCGCAGTCTGTCGTCCCTCTATGCGCATGTGTGTTCTCCACACCAGCAAAGCAGCTGCCAGACCCGAAAGATGCAGCGATGCGCGATGTTGCAATATTTTGCTTGCCGTATGCGACCGGCACACACCCGAGGAAGTGTGTTGTATTCTCAAGGACGGAAGCAGCAGGAATGAGGCCCAGTGCATGTTACAAAGCAGGTCCTGGACGCTGTCGGTCTTGTCGCGCATCGATCGAGCTGCACGGGTGCAAGCGGTGGCATGCAAAGAGCCACTGCTGGAAGACACCCGTCTTCACAACACTTCACAACCAGAAGCCACATGCAAACAAAGGCCTAGGCTGCCGATGGCTTTGAAGAGGGTCTCAGCTGCAGCATTACAGCATGAACTAGAGCCAGGCCGGCGCGAGCCCATGGAAGCCGCTTGACGTGGGTCGGGTCGTGGCTTCGGGCTCTGGCCTTGCGATTGTCTTGAGTCTGTTGCAGGGCCTCAGTGACTGCACTTCCCATTCACATGTGACGTGTCTCAAGCATCAGAGCTCCCCACACCAATGATTTGAGAGTTTTGCTTCTGAATCAAGGTCAGGGTGTCCTCGTCTTGCCAGAACATGGGGCCTAGCTTGCGACCGAAAACAAGCGTGTTCAGCATCCCCCCTGACTGCGTCCTCCTGAGACTCCTCCGACTTGCCCTCCAACATTTTGGACCTATCGCGGATGCAAGCTGCTTCAAACCAAAAGTAGCGGAAGTTCAACTTCCTGAGGATCCAGCCGTCCGATGGGGAGCCAGGTGACCTTAGCTTCACTGTTCGCGAACGAGCTTATGCTTCAGTGGCTGGTGCCCGAAACTCCAACGTCTCAATAAACTTTGCGGAGGCTGAGGAAAGTCAGAAAGCACTGCATACGACAACACAAACTGAAAGCCGAAGCGCATCGGAGTTGTCGATAAATTGCCGAATCTGACTCTCTGGCCTCGGCCAGATGCTCAGACAATGACAAGTGCCAAACTCCTTCACGCCTCACCTAGCTAGAGTGGCATGACTAATTGGCATTGTCGCCGTTGTAGTCAACTCGACAGCTTCAACAGATCATGCTAGCAGGTAGTGGCAGCGGGCTTCCAAGATGCAGGCCCGGTGAAGTTCTGGCAGCAGGTGGACTTGACATGTGCTTTGCGACTTCAGCCAACCCATGCAGCCCCGGTCCAGTGCATGCTTCTCGCGAAGGTGGAAGACGAAGGCCATATAGTCCTGAAAACTTGCGCAAGATATGGGACGGATTTCAATTCAGTCTCCTTCAACAGCAGCCCCGCCCTGCTAATGGCTTCGGTCCCACTTGTTCTGCTTGTAGGTCTCGTGGTACTCGAAACCATCTACAATGCCAGCAGATTGGGCCACTGACCTGGAAACTGTTTCTAGGTGTGTCTTCGCGCATAACACGTGCTTTGCCCTGCGGTCGCATTGAGCTTGGATCGGTGCTCGATGACTTTGCGGTCTATCGAAGAAATGAATGATTGCCTCGGATGCGAAAGTGACCCGAATGACCGCGGCCTAAGTTGCACTGGGATGCAGCCGGGCGGCGTCTCTAAGTTGTTCTCGCGGGCTGTTGCTTCTCGCCTGATACATGCCGCACTAAGCCGACGGTACACTGGACACTGGAAGGTAGAATCATTCGCTGCAATCCACTATCTTCGCGAGGTGTTGCTGGCTTCATCACTCTGACGGCGGCCTTTGAGTCTGGAAAGAGTCCACAATCAGTGCCACGATGGTGTTCAGCAACATGACACCAAATATCACAAAGTAGCCTGGCATCAAGGTCGTGATGAATGCATGATGTGTGCTGGAGCACAGACTGTCGGTGGGCTTCCGACTGATGTCATACACCATACGCTGGAACCAGGTGTCATCCTCGTGCGGCTGCAACAAATTCAACAACACGGGGTGCCTGGCTCAAGGGCCATCAGTAGTCCTCGGGGCCTACTTGGTGCATCATGCCGCTCAACCTCGTTTGCACACAATTGACCGACTCTGCAGCTTCCAAGTCTTTCTGCATGGGCGCACCCCACAATTCCAGAGCGTGTGCCCATGTACAGGATGCTTTGTGTGCAGACCTTGGTCGACTCATTGTGGCACCAATCTCTTCGTGATGTGAGAAGCTTCCAGGTGCCATGCCATGATATTTTCATCACAGTACATGCCGAACTCGTCGCGGAAATTATGAAGCCCTGCGACTGACTCTGAGTCTCTCAATCTGTCACCGCGTTCCTTTCATTCACAACTCGCCATGAACCAGGGCCTATGGCGCCATAGACGAAGGTGATGATGCCAGCACCAAGAAATGTCATAAACAGCGGCCTGTGTTGCTTGCATTGGATTTGACTTTCCGAAGCGGTCTTCTGTGAGGCTGCTGCCATGCAGGGGCCACTACACCGCTCAGCACGGTCCTTAGCTTCTATGAGTAGCTTCTGTTGTCTTGGATGGTTGGCTTCTGGTGGTTCCTGAAGCTGGTGCTGAAGTGATGGGCTTTGAGCGAAGAAGTCCGCCAGCAGGAAACTGCCAGGATGGAGACCAGGCTTCTTCAGCTGACATGACGGTATTTGATATTTGAGTCAAGTTTGCAGCCACCTGTACACCCACCAGTGCTGTCCTCAGTGGCATGCGTGTTTGGCAGGCTCTGTCGGTGCTTCATGCATGCAGAGGCCAGGGTTTCACAAGTGTCTGGCGAAACAGTGCTAGCGACGTCAGGATCAGTGTAATGGCACGCCACCTGATCTGCAGCATGGGTCTGCTGAAACATTCAAAGACGCGGCATCTGAGGTCAGTGCTGGAGCAGCCGTTGGCTCATGTAACGCCCCTGAGTGCACACGCTGGGGAATGCCACGGCCGCATTGCGTGCGATGTGGCAGCTCTATAAGACTCTTAGAAGCGCACCCACGCAGCGCAAATGTTGACGAGCGAATTCCTCGACATGATCGCACATGAACTCGTGCTGCACAAGCATCGTGTCCCTGTGCCTCTTCGGGTACTGGGTCTGCACTTTTTTGATGCTCAGTGGCACCTGTGGTGAGGGGCACAGGGCATGTGCATGCCGATTGGTGCGTGGCCCAGCTCGAATGTAAACTAGCCCTTGCAGGAACTGGGATGTCTCTGATCTACGCATACATTCCGAACCAGCCTGGATGCAAGTAAACAGGCAAAGCCAGAGCATTGTACATGCCTGGGCGCGCTGTGCAGCTTCAACGTTGCGTTGTAGCCGAGTGGGTCAAACACACGCCAGAAAGGTCCGTGCAAGGTGTAGAGCACCGAGGATCTCTGAAATCCTGAACATGCTGCAATGCTGCACGATATGTCCGATTTGCACTGCAGTTGCAGTCGATAATCGTCCACGCAAACAAGTTCGCAATCTACAGTACCATGCTCTCGCGCAGTTCAGTGTTCAGCTAGTCACTGTTCATGTCGGCAATGGAAGAGACTGTAACCCACCCAACACCGAGCCTTTGCGCCATGGGTGACCTGCGCATCAGTATTGCGACATGTGGACGGCTAAATACCTGCCATCGAACCACAAAACCTGAGTCTGCGACGCCCACATCAGGTCACCAGCAGTGTCCTGTCCGTCGTGATGGTACTACCGCATGAAACTGAAATCGGCAGACATCGGAATGCATGATATTGCATAGGCATCTGTCCTTTGGAGCGACCAGGAAAAGACCAGCATGTAGCGCCAAGCACAAGCTCAGGTACAAAGAAGATCCTCGGCGAAGCGAGCTATCGGAGGCTCTGAGATCGGCCTACCTCGCGCAGTATGCATACAAAAATGTGGTGGCACAGGAGTGGACCCGATGGAGACGGGGAAGGTGAGACATGGGCAAATAGGCATGGAAGCTATCACCCGATGTCTGCGGGCCAGTAACAAACACGGCCAGTGGATGCCACGAAGAAGCATGACAATGGCTGCTATATCCACATGTAAACACATTCCCGTGACTGGCGGACCGTGACTGATGGGTCATGGCACGACATTCGCCAGGGTCTGCTGCTTCAAGACACGCACTGTCTGGTTACACATGGCTGAAGCCGAATTAGCCTGGATCTAATTCAGGAGTTTATATGAATTCAACATAATATGACCTGACACCTTCCAAGTCTGGCACCGCATGAGGTAACTCAGTCCATACCAAATGACCAGTAGGAATGCGCGTTGAGTCTGTTTTTCTTTCAACAATGCCGTTGAGTTGTCGAGACACTGGAGGGAAATGTGCACAGCACCGCTGGACTTCCCCGGGCTGTTTGGAACTCAATGTTCGTCTTTAGCATGACTTTTCGAGAACCTATCATGGAGACGCAGGTGTGGATGGAGTGCATCATGTTCCACTGTGGCGTGGCAGGTCCGTCGCCACAACACCTTGGGATCCTTGAGGTGCTTTGGGCTTGCTGCTGTGACGCAGGTTGTGAATGATTGCGACTCGTGTGGGCTTGACAGCTTGAAGCCGTAGGTGCTATGGAAGAAGGCTGCTTCATCCAAAGAGATCACCCAAGCCTCTAAGAGTGAGACTGTGCCGCTGAGTGGCTTCACACTGCCATCAAACGCCATCAAGCTCCCGTAATCGAAACAGTGCCAAACTTGCATGCATGCTCGGGGCGCAGCTCATCAGGTTCTGCATGTGCTTCGCATCATTGGCCAGAAAGACCCAGAAAGGTCTGTGCCTTTTGACTTTTCACAGCTATAGCATGCATGCATGTGTAATGTTTGCAACGAGGCCCACACACACCGTCTGGAAGGTAGAGCTGTGCCTCAAAGGCTTAGCAACGGCACATGCACGCATTTCTCAGAGGCGTCTGTATTCGTTGTGGAGGAAGAAGTGCACGCCACAATACATCCGTAAGCTAGTGGCCCATCTGCGATACCTCTGTGGACAAAGCCTGACATCGAAAGCTTGGTATGGTTCTCACAGACCTATGTCTGCAAGCAATGTGCCTCGGCCACGAGACACAAGCCCAACGGATTTCAAACTTGTCAGGGGCGCGAGAACCTTGACAATGCCAAGATTAGTCGAGACCTGCAGCTCTTATCACCAGGGATCAGTCCATGGCATGGCTTGTGACAAGCAGACAGCCGGAGATGATGCGATGCGGTAGGCAGCATCACTTATCGACCAGATGCTGCGCAGCTCTCACCAAAATACATTCGAGACCAGCATGAATGCATTCGACCGTGACAATGACTACTTGAACCTTCTTGAGGCCAAGATGCTCGTTGTTGAGCTCCACACCTAAGTTCCACCCCCCTCGCGGAACAGTTCCAGAGTTAAAGGGTCTAGACAGTGTACAGTATGTACTACATGCAACCGATATCAATGTAACATGCGTTGCACTGTTTGGTTGTAGGACCCATGCGCGACGATGATAAAAGCCGAGTCGCACATGTGAACAAAGCTCTTCATCTTGACATCTGGCCTTAGTCTGCAGAACTAGCTTTACGTTGCTGGTTGCTTGATTATCGGGAGTCTCTTCGAACTTGGATTCATGGGGTGTGTTGGGGTGCCGGCAGGCTGAACGGTACCTCGTCCAGGATGCGCTGTTTCGAGGCGCCCTGCCTGGGGTTGAAACCGTGAAGCAACAACCACCAACGTCACTGACGCTCAGAAGACGAAATGTTTTCTAGGAAGCCAGCACGTACCACACCGCAGTGACTGGGACTCGGAAGTTCAAGGACCTGTCAACAAATGCTTCTCTCAATCTTAAGCTCTTCTTGATGATTTGACTGCCCACGTGCATCCGCAAGACGCTTCGAGGATCTCAGCACAGAGCTGAAGGTGTCCATTCAGCACCACCTCCAGAGTCTTCACGTAGCGCCCCAGAAAGTCGAAGGCCTTCGGGGCTCAAGCGCGTTGGAACCACTTCGTGTCGTTCTGCCCCCCCGCCCCGAGCCTGCCGATAGATTTGCCGCTTCTGCCAAGCTGCGCGCTCGCGCAGGTAACTTAGGCCGGGAACTGTAGTAATTAGAACGGGCTCTCCGTAGCTGGTTTTTCACCATTGGGACTTTTCAGCACTAGATGTTGCAGTTCTGGCGGCGGGTCCGTGGAATCGTAAGTCGCCAGCTCTCGGCGAGTCCGATACTCGGCCTCAGAATCCACGAAGGGATCCTGCTCCTCAGGCAGTGGCATGACCTGACTCAGGTGATCCCTCCAAGTCCCTGCACATGCACTGGTGCTTGCAGAGCCAGCAGGTGCAGCAGACCCATCGCACTGCACGGCACCCCATCTCTTCGCTTTTCTATTCGCGCTGAACTTTACAGAATCAAGTTAGCGTCGGCTTTACTACCTAGGCGAGTGAAAAGATCCTATCGGGATGTTGGACCCGTTGGATCAATTGCCGCGATACGTGAAACCATCGAAATGGACTCCCTGAGCTCCGGGACCGGCTTCTGAGATCGCCACAGGCATGTCAACAAACTCCTTCTCAAAGTTCGACACATCACCCGCCCCTGAGACCTTGGGCTTGAAAGGTGGCGTCACCTGGCACTGGTACAGCGCATTCCAGTCCACCGAGGCGAAGAAGCCGTGCGCTCGGACTTCGGCGCCGTCATGGGGGCCTCCGCCCAGCCGCGACTCCGGCTGACGTGTGAGGAGACCCTCAAGCAGGGACTTGGCGACAGGCGAGATGTAGGAGGGGTAGGACAGGTTGGCACGGCGGATGCGCTCGAAAAGTAGGTTGCGGTCCTGGGTGTAGAATGGGGGGAGACCCGTTTGCATCTCATACGCTAGAGCTCCCAAGGAGTACCAGTCGACGGCCCTGCCGTGGCCACGCTTGTCCAACAACTCTGGAGCCAAGTACTCCGGGGTGCCACACATCGTCCGAGCAGAGAAGTTGTCGGTGATGCCCTCTTTGCTTAATCCAAAGTCCGTCAGCTTGGCGTGGCCCTCCGCATCCAAGAGCACATTCTCTGGCTTTAGATCACGGAAGATGATGTTCAGGCTGTGTAGGTATTCGAGTGCCAACAGGATCTCGCTGATGTAAAACCTGACATTCCACAGCAACAGCATGCGTAGCATGAACAACTACAGGCATACATGCATGCATGATCACGCATGCATACGGACATATATATATATATATAGCTATATGTATATGTATATATATATATATATGTATATATATATATATGTATATATACATATATATACAAACGGAGACATGCAGTCAGACGGAAGTACATGTGTACGCCCATACGTCCATGCGTGCATACACGGATACGTGCATACATATACAGACAGACAGGCATGCGTATCTCCCTCCCTGCGTGAGCGTTTGTGTGTGCGTGCGCCTCCCGAACGCAACGTCACGTTGCACAACTGGAAAACCCTTTTTTGAACCCAGACCCTGCCGACAACTGGAAAACCCTTTTTGCTGCAGGCTTGCTTGCAAGGACGCTGGAAAACCCTAAACCCTAAACCCTTGTCCTAAATCGCGGCGCCTTGTTCGTCCTTCTGAGAAACGTCCTGCGCGGCTCAGGTGGAAGAAGAGCTCTCCACCGGGACAGTAGTCGAGAACCAAGTAAAGCCTGGGGTCATGGTGATTTGAGGGGCTTTAGTGACATGTCCTCTGAATAATGTGAATGGCGTCTCAAATGTGGGTGGATGACATGTTCGGGTACTTGCCTCAGAAAGACGAAATTTATTGTAGGAGCCTGTATCCTACTGGCCGGTGGCGACGAAATTAGGCATTCCTCATCAGGTTGCTACATTATTCAAGGCTGCTGGACTGCTGCTGGCATGTCGGATCTGCTGCATCTCTTTCCGACGTCGACCAAATCATGCGTCAACCACCAACACTCGGTTTGCGTAAAAGCGGCTTCTTGGGCGTCTGGAACGCATAATGAAGAGAGACGATGAAGGGATGGTTCACATGCTCGAGAACGTTCCTCTCAGTCTTGGTGTGCTCGACCTGATTGCCTTAGAAGCAACAGGCACTGCAAAAGGGCAGGAATTACTGACACAGCAAGACGCAGCAAGCTTTCGCATGCAGGAGCATGATTCAAATCGAGGAACGGTTCATGACATGCTCTTTTCGAAGCATTTTCATTGCAAAGACTTCCATGCTGGGCGAGTTCTTGCGCCGAACCAAGTACACCTTGCCATAGCTCCCTTTGCCGAGCACCCTGAGGCTCTCAAAATCATCGAGACTGGGCGCGGCCATGCTGAGCCCTTAGCCAAACAAATTAAACCGGCGAGTCCAGCTGATGTGTTGATGTCCGATTTCCAAACTCTGAGGTGCTCACTTCTCGCCGGCGAACGGCCAAAAGCTATCTGCTAAAGGACCCCGCTCAACAAGTGAGGCCACGGAGAGTACCGGCTACGGCACTGAGATACAAAGCTTCAACCATAGCTTTGGACACGCAGCATGTGCATCTGACATCATCTGGCACTGCACGGCAGGCCGTAGGCCACATGACAAATGAAACGGACAGGCAAACACACACGCACACACAGACCGCGCCTCCTTCTTGAACTTGTTGCTGTGGGCCGAGAGCTCGTAAACAAGCTCGATGCTGAGCGTTTTTCAACAAAGCAATGCCATCTGCCGTAACTGGGGAGGAGGGAGGGTGCTGGAAGTTGACTTCGAGCTACAAAGCGCTTAATTAGTTTTGATCAGTAACGGCAGTGTAGCGACTCTAAGTGCCGGGCAGGCAGAAGCCCTCGGCAAACAGGACGCCCAGCTGTTCATCATCGAGGTCCTGGCATGAGCAAGCCTCGCACTGGACCACAGCAAGGCCCTAAGCCTGATAAGCACTTTCTGTCTAAAGGTTTACATGGGAAAAACGCCAACTGTCCTCCAGGAATTCTGTTGCCAAGGCCTGTACTGCAAGCACTAGGTACCATCATCATTATGTCATCATTGTCGGAGCACAAGTTCGCATTCATGATCTTGAGGCTCGTCCCTGTTTCTGCACAACGAGGTCCCGGCAGTGTTGCGGCTCACGGCAGTGAAAAGCTGGCAAGGAATCGCGAAAATAAGCTGGCGCATGAATCTGTTCAATGGGTCTTGTGCATCCAAGACTTTGTCTCCGGCTCCCCATATGCTCTAATACTTCCCTGTCCAGGCCTCTGAAGGATCTGCCTGCGTAGGCTGACTTCCAGATTTAGCTCTTCTGACCACCCACATGCAGCTGCATAGCAATCTGCTCGGTATATCATTCTCAATCGGCTGTTGACAAAACCTTGTCGTTGGATGCTCGGGTCCCTACCATTCTCTTTTCTACTCTTGTCAACTCTAAACCGTTGAAGCACGGGCCTGTGGCAAAATCAAGGCATGCAGATTGCCGTCCAATGGGATGGCAGCCAAGTTCTGCCGGGTCACCTCCGGGATAGCAGTGGGGCCAGGGTCGCGAAGCCCACTAACCACTAACCGTCAACGACCCGGTTCTGCAAGACCGCAAGCAAGGTGCCGGGTCGAAGTTGCATCTGTATGGTGGAGCAAACAGCACATGCCCTTTGTCTGACTTTTTGACTGTGCCGTGTCCCGGCTTTCGCACCGGTTCCTGGCAAAGGAGCATGGATTGCTCCGGAACGTCGTCCTTCGCAGTTGCATTCAATTGGCACTGGGGTGCTCGTGGCATTTGGGCTCTGGCTTTTGCCCGAATCTGGGAGCAAACTGGTTGGGGCTCGCCGTGCACGTGCGACAGGTCGCACCAGACATTTTGCTATTTTTGTTCCGTCTTGAAACAAAGCTTTGGCTGCCTCCTTGGCTTGATTGACGTCTGGCTGCAACCTGTTCTCCCCTTTCTGTGCAGAGCCCTCTCTGCTCGACCAGCTATGGCAAGAAGCCTCCGAGCGGTGAAACTTTCTTTTCCATATCAGCACGTAGAAAGCTGGTTGGCCTGCCCAACAGCTTTGAAAGGGTTTTTGCTGCTGTCGCGGGGAGCGGCAGTACGATTTGCCGATTTATCCAACCCAGAGGAATGTCGATGCTTTCTTTGATGAGTTTATGTCTGTGGACGTTCAACGAACCAGTCTCTCGGTTGGCCATTGCAGGCACCGTTTGTAAACATTTTAGTTTGCGCCCGATGAAGGGGAAACGATCTCTGGATGCAAAACCGAGATCTGCCCAGTCGCACATCCAGCACCGGATGTGGACTGCAAAATCGCTTCAAAATTGGAGCATTAAGGCTGTGTGGTACAGCCACGAGCCGCAAAGAACCGACCTCTGCTGGAGTGTAGAGTCTTATCAAGTCTCGTGTACTCAGATGTAAGATGTCAATGACAGGGCCTTCCTCCCACGAGAGTAATCATGCTTCTTGGGATGTCGTCGGCGGTTCATGTGACCGTCTATGCCACGCGCGGCTGTGATGTCTCGGCTCATGCCGCCGGTGTTATCGCATCCACCGTAAAGTGGATGAGGCCTCGGCAAAGCAGTTTAACTTCTGGACATGATCTAGCAAGCTCTGCTTGCTTTGTAACACGATAACAGGCTCTCACGGTGGCGCACTGCACATCTGTCGCAAGCTGAGGGTGGTGGCTCCAAAGAGGCCAGCGGGTTGCGAGCATCAAGTCCTGCAAAGGGATTTGCAAGAACACGGAGTTTGCTTCCAAGCCGCAGCGGAGCTGGCTGCGCTGCGTTGCTGTCGCTGGAAAGTGAAGACGACACTGAACCAAGTAGAAGCCAGCCGTTTCACCCCAGGCAGTCCAAGTCTGCAGGGGTGCGGATTGCCTTCTTGATGGCCTGAAGAAAGCATGATGACCGCGTCAATGTCTCAGTGTCTCTCTGAAGTCTCCAATCGGTAGCAGCTGCCTCCTGCAAGCCGTTCACAAGGTTCAATCGCTCCCTGAGCAGTGACTTTGAGGCTCTACAACATGGCTCTGCAGGTTTGAAATATGCGAGCAAACGGCAGTTGGCAGTCTCCACTACAACATCGATCTCTATCTCTCTGCGTGTTTTTCTGCTGTGCCCGGCATGCCCTGTGAGCATGCTGTTTCTGTGCAACGAGTAGTCCCTTGCATGCATCTGGCCCGAGCAGCCAATGGCATATGGGTAATTTAGGGGCCCGGCTGGACATTGCTTTGCACAGATGCCTGCGATGCAACTGTCCGACATCATGCGCAGGATGCCCCAGTTTCATGAACGATTCCGGCTCACCGTTATCATACGAATTACTACTGTGCTAGTGGATCATAAGCCGAGGGATTTGACACCAATAAATCACCAGCACAACAACCAACAGCCTGAGCGATGTCCAAAACCCACTTCAAAACCCGGTGTCTCCCACGTTCACCTGGGTGGCCAGTGCTGTCAGCGCTGCAAGGACGTCGGTCTCGCCTACAGGTCGCAAATTCACGACACTATGCTTCCCGTATCCAGAACGGCGGATGGCTTTGGAAAGCATCTGTTCAAGGGCTCCCAACACGGCTGGCCTGGCGTGGGATCCTCCAAATACCTCCATTGGCTCACACGCCACGAGTTTATTTCCTTTATCGCAGCCAGAGCACTTACCGTGGCACTTTTGTATGCCGCCGGGGGACTTCAGCGTGGCATCGGCCATGGCGGCGAGGTCGTTGGAGGCCATGGCAGCTCGCATAGACTTGAAGTAAGCGGCACCTCAGGTCCAACGTGGCTCTTCCGACCGAGAGCGCTCGTAAGTGGCGGGATACCGCGCCGAGGCGAAGACTGATCTTGTTCTCCAGTCCATCAATGCCTTAGAGAGCGGCGCTTCACCGCACTTCTGCTTTCCGATCCCGAGAGATGCAAATGCACCAGTGCAGGCCAGTGCAGGCTGATGGCTGTCCTGGCTCACCAAGTCCTTCAGGAGCTCTGCCTGTCAGGGATTCCCATGGTGAGGACCGAGGGCTTCTAGGCCAGGTGCTACAGGAAGCTCCACCTTGCGAAGGCTCAGCTGCGCCATGATGCCTCAGATTTACACAGGAAGCCGGAGCACTGCACCGGCTCAGCGGATTTCTCCGAGCTACCGAAGATGGGCCACCCTGACAGTGCCGTGGCAACCCAAGGAATGTCCAGAAGGACCGTGAGCAAAGGCGAGGCGAAGGCCTCCGAAACAGAGTGGACAAAAGCTTATATCTCTATCTATCTATCTATCTATATATATATATATATATATTTATTTTATATTGGTATTATTTATATTGTATTATATTTATCTTTTATTTGTCTTGCGCTGATATTATATATATATAATATATATATATATATAGACATTAGTAGCATGTTTCTGTCCCCGCCTCTCCGGCTGTCTGCACGGTCTGAGCGACGCCCATGGGATCCGAGATGAGGCAAACCTGCCACAGGGGAAATGGGGGCAGTCGCGGTGATCCAGACATCACAAAGCCCCAGCACCCGAATTGCTCAAACATGCCAGCGCAAGCTGATAGAAGCTGTATGGCAATCTTTCCTCGTTTGGCAGGGGGTTACTCTGCGATTCCAACTCAAGAAGTGCAAGGTGCTGCCTGTGGATGTGTCGTGGCCCCTAAAGCATGAACAACCGTATTGCACGGGGTTTCGATCAAGAAGCCTGGGCCGCACTCGTTGGCAGAAAGATTGTCGAAGCCACCGGCAGCCTGACGTCAGAATATCCAAGTCATCTCGCTCGACAAGGTCTCTGTCCAGCTCGCCTACTGTGGAAGTAATCCAGGCCTTGACTTGGGCGATGCCCTTGTCTACCGCGTCCTTCACTTTCTCGGCGGGAATCCTTGGATCTTTCCATTTCAAGCGTGTGGGCTTGAAGAGCAGTCACTGGCAGCCCAAGATTCGGATTGAACCTCGGCTGCGCTCCAATTTAGTCATGCTTCAGCTCTGATGTCAAGATCATGGATACAACCCATGCTTTCCACAGTTCCGATCCCAGACCAGCAACACTGCACCTGGAGTCTCCTCGAGCAAGGCGCGGAATGATTTCTTCACCTTGGACGGTTGAACACTTCGAAACCAAGGATAATGGCACCCTTCTATGGGTGGAGCCTAATCGGAGAAACCTCCGTCCGAGCTCTCGAGACTCTAAAGCTGACGAACGACGACCATGCTCATGATGCTGATGATGCAACGCTTATCCAAGCTATTCACAGCCGGGTCACGGATTGCCACACTGCAGCGTGTGGGCCTCTCTGGCATTCCATGTCATCTGGGATTGCCAGTTGCGACCTCATGGCAGGCTGCTGCCCATAGGCCGAAAGACTGTGCTCAAGGAGGGCATGCATGCGGAGTCATGATACACGGCAAACGTCTGAAACAGGCGGTTTGAGGCATTGGCCATGCTGGCCTCAGAGTGACAAATAGAAGCCAACCCGCCAATACCTCGGTAGGTCGTGGCAAAAGCTCGATGAATCACACAAGGAGCCTCTGCGGTCTGTGTTCAGTGATTTGGCCTTTTTCGGCTTCTACTTCGCAAGGACCATGTCACGGCTTCGCCCAGATTAGGGCCCACTCTGGCTCACCCTTCTGTCACATTCCGTGGCCATGAAAAGCATCCGCGATGACACTGTGGAGACTCTTTGCAATCAGGCTTCTCGCGCCATGGGCTCTCGGAGCTGAGAGCCGCAGCTCACAGGACAAAACGAGCCGAGATGCTGCCAACAAGTCCCCTGCCTTCTACGCTTTCTACCACTGCGTGAGGAAGCAGGGCTTGCAAAATGCGGAGTTGCCTGTCGCGGATTGATGGCAACGGCACCGAGAGTGAAGTAGAGGTAGACAAACCTGTGCTGCCCGACATGCTCGATGCGCGTGTACATTGTATCAACTGTCGCACGCAGGGACCGCACTCGATGCGCTGTCTGATGACCAGAGGGTCCCCACCTCCGGAGAGCAACGCTGAACAAGTTTCAGTGCATGCTTCTGTGATTCTTGAAGCTTGTGTTCACTTGACTCTCTGCATGCTGCAGGGCCAGTCATCTTCGGCAGTGGTCGGCAGCGGCATCTGGGACGCTGGCGCTGCAGAATGGTTTGATGAATCCGTGCATCCAGTCGCCCCTGCAGGCATCTGCACGAGCTCCAACAATTGGTCATCGCTGTTCCGATGGTCACAGTGCCTCCATGAGGGAAAGCCTCGAGCGTATGTCAATCGCACGAATCTGCTGTGCTGCTGCGCCGTCGGCCAGGCCCCGAGCAGCATGCGCAGCAGTTCTGCCTTGAGCTGGCGTACGGCCGATGGGTAGACGTCTCCTTCCTCAGATGACGTTTTGCTTCGGCTGTGGGTCTGAGAGTATCGCATGTCAGTAGCGGCCAATCACAGATGCTTCACCCACCTTTCGAAGCAGTCGCAGGGTCGACTGCCCACGAGTACCACTGTCTTCCTCCTACTTGTACATCCTAAATGTCGGCATGCCACTGTGCTGATTTGGCGCGCTTAGGCGCGATCCTCCACTGCACCATTGGAGCACATGTGCTGTACAGAAGTCGTGCGTACTACGCTGCAGATGTGGCTGCAGGCTACAGGTCTGGCACAGCCACCTTAGCGTGGTGCCCAGATGGGTGTCCAGAAACGTGCAGAGAGACAGACTGGTCGGTGTGGACTTGGGACACCTTCTTGGAAGGTGCGATGCAGAAGCGGATCCGCCGAATGCACACAGCAGCGAGACAAGTTGTGTGTGAAGCTCTCACGTCTTCCTGCAAAGTTAAGGCACTGTGATAAGAGCGGCAGACCTGCTGCGAGATAACCCAGCATCAGTTGACCCGGGCAACGTGATTCGGCGAGACGGCGCCGATGTGCCGCAAGTTGGGCCCATGACTCTGGCGGCCGGTGTCGAAGTAGTTATTCCTGGTGAAGTTGCTGCTTCCTGACAGCCAACTTAAAAATGCTTTTCTCATCTGCTCCACCCTAATCTGCCCCTACTCTGGGGGACATGGAAGCATTTGCGCAGCCAATGCAGTTTAGCATCGATAGAAGCGATCCATCGTCAAACCGGGAAACCCGTCCTCAGCTATACGCTCTCGGTCGGCACCAGAGCAGATCGGTAGCACGCCACCTTGGAGTTTCCGGTATGCTTGATTGCTGGCAGGGAGCACGCCACGTGCCCGTGAAGCCGCCGGTTACCAGGAAGTTCCTGCCGAGCATGACAGCCTTAAGAAGTCTGAATCTGCAAGCAAGATCTAAGATATTCGGTGAATGAATGTGCATGATGTATAGATGGCTGTGCAGTCGATGACAGATCCCGGGCCCTAACCCCGACAACGGCTGTGCTTCGGGTGATCGAGGCCTTTGAGAGCACTCGGACTGCAACTGATCCGGGCCTGAAGGGTGCTAGCCCTAGTTACAAGAATGTGGCACCCAGTTGAAGGGAGTCTCGAACCTGAGCCCTGCACAGTACTACTCCGATCCGTGCCTGGCAGTGCCGGGCCTGTCATGCTCGAAAGTAGACTGCCCAGCTGCTGGGCGCCGCCAGTCCCAAGGGGGGGTGGACCTGCTCGGCGGCCGGCGATGGTTCGCATAGAAAAGGACTTCGATAACTAGCAGCAAAGTCTGCAGTAGTTTTATGCCTGGAAATAAAACGCACACAGAGATAGGAATCGATCCAGCTGCATGTACATGTATCTGTGCATGTGTGCACATCTGGACATGACTGTCGCTTGTGTATGTGTGTACGTGTGTATGCAGGCGCAGATACACTGGATACACATGCATTCTTGATAAAGTCTGCATTTTTCTGTGCTCTTCACATATGTTCACACCTATGCATGCATATAAATGAGACAGACAGACAGACAGACATGTGTATACTGTATATGTGTATTGACCCCGTATTTATGTATACTGTATGCATCTGTATACAGTTTGCCTATACAAACATACGGAACACTCCACGATGTTGAAGAGTTGCAGACGTGATGAAGGTAGATGTGCCGCTGGCCTGTGCTGAGTCCAAGTCTGGTACACGGGCCAGCATGGGATCCGTTCTCCAGACGAATGTCTGTGACGCGTTGCTCGATCATGCCCTGAGGCTTGGCACAACTTCCGCCGCACACCAAAATCAAGCTGGCCACAGCACATTGGTGCAACCGAAGTGGCTCTGTGCAGAAAGGTGAGGCAAGCCCTCCTGGAGTCTTCAGGCATTTTTTGCTATTGGCAACCTACGATCTCTTTTCAATCAAGACCCGATGTGCAAGATGCATGGGCCGCTGAGCCCCTAGTTCGAGTCCAAGGAGCTCGCAATGCCCCCTGCGAGTAACTGCTTCGCAGACTTTCCCGTGCGCAGTCTGTCCTGTCCGAAAAGGGCAGCTCGAAGCTGAAAGAAGAAGCAGCCAGCTGATTACGAACCTTTAGCTTGAGGTGGTAAGCCCATCTCAGAGTGCTCTTTCAAGAATCTTTCGGTGTTGAAGCCTGTTGATCCTGGCTCTGCCAGGCAAGTCCGCATTCCGTGAGAGTGTTCTCCACCAGCAATAATTACACCCATAAGCAATAATTACACCCATGGATTTCCCGTGCAATCACCCACGACCCCCACGCCCACCACGAGGAGCTTGTGACGCTGCACTGGCCAGGTGAACGCGGTCGCCCTGTCGATCAGCATGCGAGCTGGAGTTGGTCGAACCAGGAAATTGCTTAATTGCCTCATACAGTGCTTGAAATACTTACGGGCCATGGAGCACGCGACTTGCCAAACTTCCCTGGATCTAGTGACGCAGCTGATTGAGCATGGGATGAAGGTTCGTGCAAGGGGGTTGTGAGGTGGGACCGAATTGCAAACGAGGTGCGTCGCGGCTCAGCACGACCATGTGCTTCCATGGCTCATTTACTCAATTCTACTTCCAACACTGGGAGGGGCTTTACACAAGCTCTTGAGATGTCGATGAACACCCATGCGATGGGTCAGGTCTGATGGTCGGAGGCTGCAGGCCCAGAAAACTGCCGGCTGTGCTTTCACATCTGGCTTTGAGCCAATCTTGTGACAAGTAAATAGAGTATGCCCGGTGTGCTGATCTTGCACCGTCAACAAGAGCTGGTACAAATCCGAAGCGAGCCCTGCACAGACTTCTGCAACTGCTGGAAGTTCACCATCAGCAACTTGAACCTCCGAGGCTTTGACTACTCCTAAACTCCGACAAAGGTGATGAATGCAGAGGAACGGACACCAACTCGATGAGGCCCATGTTGCTCAGGAACTCCTTGCCGGCGAACGGATCACAGCTCTTGACTCCCTGTGCCTGCTTGATCCTGCGGCACTTGACTGTTTTCTTGTCCTGGTTGCGCGGGTTCGGCCCTGAGTGGACCAAGCAGTAGGTGGCTGGCTCTTCTCATCTGTTCCGACCAACCCGAGTCCGGAACCCTGTGCCAACTCTGTCAGGAGCACTACCACAAACTTCACCTCGAAAGTCCACCGAACCGTGGGGTATGTGTAGTGAGCCGAGACAAGCCCCGATCGGGCACACTCCGCTTGGCCCTGTAGTCATGACAATGAGAATCAAACAGAAATGGTGTCCCTGCCATGTGAACTCTTCCACCTCGTAGATTCTTGGAATTGCAATTCAATTTCAACTTGAGCCCACCCAGCATTCAATGCTGCCATACATACACCGAGTGGGTGTGCGACGGTAGCCGGCTCGGTACCACATTGGAAGAAGACTGTCGATGTTCAGGACCCGGCGCACTTCAGCTCACTCAGCGAAGAATAGTTGGTCTTGGTGGGAGGCACAACGCTTCTTCATGCGTGATATATCTGATTGCGCTGGCAAGAGCAGTGTTTGCAAGTCAAGCACCTACTGTGGCCCGGGCACCCTGGGCATCCTTGCACATCCTGGTCAACCTGAGGCTTCGGGTCAGAAGGTCTGGCCGGCATGCGCAGTCACGGCAAAGGCCCTCGCAGCCAGCAACAAAGACCGGGGACCTGAATGTGCTGTCTGCAGACGTGTACACAAATGCGCATATACCTAGACTTCTACACACTAATTATCTCATACCATTAGACTGCTTAGACTCTTGTCTGCCCGTAGACCACTATTGCAAATGAAACCCTGGCCTGAGCAGCCATGTGTTCATGTCGCAACAGCTACAGGGCTCTTACTTGTACTTCTACATATTGCACAGACATAGTGGTTAGGTGCAATGCAGCAGCGCAAGCATCTGCTGTTGCCTCCTGCGTTCGACCCTGCACTCCTTTGTGGTGAAAAGCTGCATTGTATGCTCTAGGCTTCCCGACGTTAAACGAGCGCACGTTGCCCTCTTGCGAGTACAGGTAATCCTGCGATGTCGGCCCGCAAGGTTGCAGCAAACTTGCCTGTCTTAACTGGCTCAGCATGGGCCCACATCAAGCTGAAGATATCAAGCGACGAGAAGACCGCGTCCTGCATCGATTTGAACTGGCCCTCGACCAGCATTCTCACGGCCTCGAGAAGACCCCTAAGCTTCCAATTCGCGTGCGGTGGCATGCAGGTCATCTACCAGAAGAAGAGCGGACCGGGCCTGTATGGCATCAACTGCCTCAACCAAGCCAAGAGAAGGTTGCTTGTGGCTTGCAGCGGACACGCTCGAAAGACTCGTCAGCACCTTTTTTGATTTTGCGACCGAGCCTGCTCCAGCAAGTCATCGTACCTAGACCCAGGAAGCTAGGATTGGTCAAATTTTGGTCAGGTGATGCACAGCGCGATCCGAGTTCTGTGGGCATGCGAAGCCACGAGGCAACACGCGGCTTTCGGATTGTATTGAGTTGGGAAGGGATGGTATCACCTGAGGGCTCGACTCGCGCAGACGTGCCTGCTGCTCATGGGCTACATGGTTCGTGCAGTGCAAAAAATTAAAATGGACTTTGCTCTGGCCTTCTCTTGGGACGTCAAGACTGGCAGTGTCCGGAAGCCGTGAACAAACCTCTGGCAGTGTCACAGGACTCGTCAACATTCCATGGCAGCACGTGAAACCTTGAGCAGGCAAGCTAGATGCAGCCATGTGTAGTCTCGGTGTAGCTAGGCCGCGCACTTCGCTGCCCGTCCGGCTGTTGATAGAATCTGGCATTGAGCTCTCCGGATCAAGATGCAGCTTCTGCACATGTTTCCATTTCGCAGGACCTCGTGGAAGGACTCCCACATGCCCGTGTCATCGTCGCTAGAAGACATGGCGTCGTGCAGGCCGAATTGGACCACCTTCGTAGCCAAAGGTCGTCGCCAGGGCTGCCAGATGCTCCGAAGAAGGGGCCTTGTTGACCTTCGCCTCGCCATCAGGTCCGCGGCTTTGCAAAAGCTCCTCAGCTCTCAGCTGATGCTACCAGTACAGGGCAGAAACAAGCTTGTCGGACCACTGGCGGTGCACTTTAAAGATGCCGACGATGAACGACTTGCCGTCTGCGTGAGCAAAGATCGATTGAGGAGCTGGCTCCAAGAACGTGCCACGCGAGCCGTTGAACCTTGCAGAGGTTGCCGCGTGCTGCTGCTTGCCAAAACATGAGGTTACGGACTCGCCGGGGTATGCTGGAGACGGCGCATCTTGCACAGCGTGGTTGTTGAGGACCTGAGCGAAGAACGATGTCAGGCTACAGCAGGCTCGGATTGAGACAGAGTTGCCTGATATTTCAACGCTCCAGGCATAGACTCTGCAATGAATTAATTGCAAATGCTGTCAAGCTAAGGCCCTCACTTTCACCAGAAGCTTTCCCACGCCAGCCTTTGACAATTCCACCTTGAGCGGGACTCACCTACACTTGACTTTGCGTGGATAGTTGGAAGCTTGCAAACAGATTTTTGCCGGTTTTGTCGTTTCTTGTGCATTAGGCAAGTGCAGATGGGGGAGTATAGACAAGCAAAACGACAAGGGACTGGCGCATTCAAGACGAAGAGCGGTAGGCAAGCGCAACAGCCAGAATCGAACTGGAATTTGAACAAACGTCCAACGCTGCCGCCAGTCAGAAACAGCCGCCCCCGACCTGGATGTATGTCAACTGCTGTGTGTCCTCCTTCTTCGCATCCTCTTCCTGCGCCTGGGAGTACAACTTGCCGGGACGTTCTATCAGCGAAACGTCCATCATCAGCTGAGTTCCCGGCCATGCCGATCATTGCAAGGAAGACCCTGCTACAGCAAAGCATTAGCCGGCATGTTTCGCTGGTTTTTTTGGAGAAACCAGTCCACTAACCCCGCGAAGTAGCTGCATCTCAGATTCAGCACCCGGTAGTTAGTTGCCGAGTTTACACATGCCTTGGCACTGTTTGGGGAGTATACCAGAATGTTCCGAATGCATTCAGTTGACCTGTCAACTTGAGTTTCTGAATGCTGCAACGGACTCTGGCTTCTGAGCCTCAGCACTCTCACACAAGGACCGCCTCATGGTGCGTCGAAGGCTGGGAAGGTCCGTCAAGTTGGCCTCGCCTCGGCTTCTCCGGTCCATGTCTTGTCTATTTTGTCAGGGGCAGAGGTGGCGTTGTTGCTGCGGTCTCGTCTCGACTCACACTCGGCACAGGCAGCAAGGGTGCACAACCACTGTACTCAAAGGGAGAATTATCGCGAGCCAAGGAGAAGCTTCGGGCGGTCAAACCCCGAGTTGCGTTGACTGAGAGCATTGGCAATGCTGCACCAGCCGGTGGATGCAGTCCTGCACCTCAGCAGCAAAACAAATCCCCGAAAGAGAAACGAAAGCTGGCAGCTGGCATTCTGCCGTTCAGAAGCTCCATCGTTCACCCACCCATAGCCACTGAGGTTTCAAACCTGGTGCAGCCCTGTGCGGCTTTGGCAAGCGCTCTCACAACAGTTGTGCTGAGGCACAGTGATGGCATGCCTGCGGAAGTCCATCTCAGTCCTTATGGCGGAATGCGATCCACTACAACACACCTTGCTTCAAATCGCTCGCCCTGTGTGCCCCGCTCAGATGTGAGATTCTTGAGATAAGGAGGATATTCAGGATCTGTCTCCTCGTAGATGGTCAGGAATGCCTGCGATTCGGGAAGGCCGCAAGACGTGGCGAACCGACCCCCAACCTAAGCAGCTTAAGCCCATACTAGATCATTCACTACAGTACCTTCTGAGGGCATCCGGAGAGACTGGGCCTGACCGAGAAGATGGCTTTGCTGCCGCAAACGCTCCTCGACTTCAAAAGCGCTTAAACATCGGAGCTCTGGCATTTTCCTTGATGAGGACTGTGCAAATGCATTTTTGCGGCAACTGCATTATCTAGAAGAGCTTCGAAAACCTACCGGCAAGGCTTACAGTTACAGGGTGGCCGATACCCTGACTCCATGACTCACTCACTGACTCGCTGACTCGCTCGCTCACTCACTCACGCATACTTACTCCCTCGCACCCTCGCTGACTCCCTCTCTCTCACTAACCCGCTCACTTACTCACTCGGGGACGCAACCCCTGCTGACTCACTGCTTCGCTCCCTCACTCATTCACTCACACACTAGTCTTGTTTTCTTGCGCGAGGGCTGGGATGGGGGTGACCACTCACTCACTCACTCTCTCGCATCCGCTGCGGAGTACCCGGTCTGAGCTGGACATCCAATCTACAAGCCACACTTCGTGAGACTGCCGCTGCTCCCGGCCCTTAGCACTCATTCGCCCACTCACTCGCTCACTCAGTCAGTCATTCACACAGCCATGTTACTATTGAAAACCAGGAACCTGGTCCAGTGTAGACTGATGGGTGAAACCAAGTGATGTCACACCAGACGATATTACATCCGGTGATGCATCAGAATCCGCTGACCTGCAAGACCTTCCTAGGAAGATGCGAGGGAGCCACCCGGTGAAGCCAGCACGTTCTCGCATCCCTAGACGTATGTGCACACTGAGTACTCGAAACATTGCGGCGTCAGATCAGCCGATGTTACACCTGTCACACCGAGTCCAAGCTCGGGATCATCGAGTAACTCGTCGCCTCTCTTCTGCAGGGTTGGCCGAATGCATACGACCCAGCCAGCGACGGTGCACAGGATGGTTGCCGCGACCAAGAAGACAAGCAATCGTGGCGAATGTAAGGGAACGAGCCTTTTTGAGGCTATTCTTGCTTCGCACCAGGGAGTTTGCACGCTCAAGGCCCAGCTTGGCCCCCTCATTTATTGAGGGACTTACGTAAAAAAAGTCATCCTGAACATCAAAAGTGTCTTTTCCTGTAATCTGTTTCCACGATTGATGCGCTGGTTCCATGTCCAGTTGTGTCTGCACCCAGTGTCTGATTTGTTCGTCTGTGCAAGAAGCTGAGGGAGTCGTGCAAGAGTTGAGAGTCGAGCCAGGCTCTGCAGAATCGGCAGTGGCGGAAGATGAGAGATTGTATGACTTCCACCTAAACCCGTCGCCATCCTTGTCAAGCCACAATTTCTGCTCTGCGTCTCGTACGCATTCCTCATCCGCAAAGTGATTCCAGCAAAAAACTCCTACATTCCAGCCCGCTGCAGGAGTTGACTAGAGGCTGACCGCCTCCATTTGGACAAATGTCAGAAGGACATTTCGCAGTGAAGCGTTTGCATCGGTTGGTCCATCCGTGACCTAAGCTATGCTCGAGGTCGGGTACATCTGTAGCTGTAATTAACTTTTCGAAACATTGCAAACGTTACATACTTTCGAGTATGCAAATAAATATTCTACATGATCTTAAACATCGGCCTAACGACCGTCACCTGTCCATCCATGGAAGTAGACCATGGTTGGCTTCGTGGGGTTGTAGAACTGGGATGGGTACCCAGTAGACTTTCTCTGACTGATCATCTTTGCCAAACCGATACATTCCGACGTCCAGCTGTGCTGGAAAGCCTTTGAAGCGATCCGGGTTTGCTGGCGTGCACAGGGGGGGTGTCTGCTGCTAGCACGGCCAGAAAATTTCACCAAGAACGTGACGGGGCTCGGCATTCCGTAGGAAACCTAACGGAATGACTGATGCCGCTATCGTCAAATGCCAGCCACGGCCTAGGCTTTAGCCGCGGCCTTGCATCTGAGTATGTGGTGCCCTTTGCAAGCAAGAACGAGAAATATAGAGAGCTCGTGCCCAGTGAAAACATGGCATGCTTGAGCAGCAGCCAAATGAGGTGTTGCAGTAAGGGCCGGTAGTCCTGGCAGCGTGGATCTTGCCGCAGCGCCTGGATTAGTCGATGCCAGAGCTCCTGGGATATCAAGCCGCATTGCTCGCAGAGTACCGGGCCCAATCAATCACTCTGACGATGTGCCTGGTCGGGAGAGCTGACCTCCAGTGCCTTCCCGGTTGAGTTATGTGCCGACACAAAGCATGTCTGCACCACTGTGAGTGCAGTCGATTTTCGAGCGATCCGACTGTCCACATTTTGGCGCCTTGGTGTCAGTGCGGCTCTCCTTGTTCACCTCCTGGAGAGTGGCAGCGTCGGCCTGTGGACTACGCCATGACCGAAAACACAACTTCTGGAGGACATAGCAAAACATAGCAAAGCCCCGTGAACTGCCTTGCAGTATGCGGCAGTTGCAGCAACAGCTTGCCTGGCCTTGCCCTCCACTGCTGTCATGACGCGGTATGCCGCGACAGACAGAAGCTCCACACTGCCGGCAGGAAGGCGGGCTCGGAAACTCGGCGAGCGGCTTTGGGCATGCAAGCGCTCCAGTGTCCGCAGAACTCCGCTACAACTTCAGACTGCTGCCCTATGTAGACGAAGCCCCGGCTCCATCCAGGGCCTCTGTAGTCTCTGAGATGTGGACGCCACACTCCGTTCCAGAACTTGGAAGCCTTGGGAAATGTAGCAGGGCAGTTGCTTCAGACTGCGGCAAGGCTTCACGAATGAATGGGCAGTCTGAGGCGCGTTTCAGGTACTTTCGTCCGAGAACTTGCAGTTGCTCGCCTGCAAAATCGGACAACAGGTTGGTGGGCATGACATGGAACAGCCCTCCCCTCCGAAGAGGTTGCCTAAAGCTCGATCACGTAGAAATCGTTCGCAGATTGAGCAGAGATGTGCAAACGACACACGATCGCCTGCAGTCTCGTCCTTGTTGATGCAGGCCTGGAAAGGCCTGGAAACCATGGGAGTGGTGAGGCTCACGAAGGCGATGGGATGCGCTGCGCCGGAGCCGAGGGCCGGGCCCGTTAAAGAAGGAGTCGATGCAGTTCAGGATTGCAGCCAAGTACTCCTCTTTCTCCTGCCAAGGGCAGCTGCTTGTAACACTCGTCGCCGCGATGTTTCTGCAAGCTGCAGCACGATCCACTTCGAACATGCGGCCGACATGTGTGGCAAACGCTTCATGTGGCTTCCTGTTGTGGCAACTTTTGCCGATAGTAACTGCAGCTCTGCATGCATTGGACAGAGCACGCAAAGGATCCCATGGGATCCCATTTTTCGGGCTCAGCCTTTGCCATAGTCGTACTCTTGTCTTCTCTTGGGGTCGCTGAGGACCTCGTATGCCTCTTGGATGGCTTTGAAACGAGCCTCAGCTGACTTCTTCAGTACCTGGCAAGCACAGGAACATTGGATCCAGGGTTTCAAGCCACCACAACAAGAACCAGAACAGAACATGAGCAACAGCAGCAAGCCTGCAGTGTGACGGTACCGCGCATGTAGATAGAAGAGCCGTGCTACTGCTAGCAGCTACTACACGATCAGAGCAATGATGACGATAATAAAACCAACAACAAAGTTATTAATACAAAACATACAAACACAAACTAAGAACAGTATTGTATTAAATGAAAGTAACACTGATAGGTATGATAATTACTGCCGCTGCATGGGGCCAAGAAATCAATCCAAAATCGCCAACGCATCGCGAAGCCGACTCTAGAAGCATTGGAAGGAACTACAAGACAACCAAGCCAGGCTCGCTTCGGAGGTTGAGTGAACCTCGGTGACAGCGAAATCCCCGTTCTCTCGGACATAGCTTCTTCTGAGCAACGTGCCTTGTCGGGATGGCATTGCAGCGCAAGCTTGTGGAAGCGCTTCTTCCTAGGCTTCGGGATTTCAACCGTCTGCTGAGAACACCTGCGGGTGTGCCAAACCATGCCCAAGCTCACTTCTGAGGAATCGCAGTCGCAGCGCAATCCCAATATAGCATAAAAGTTCCTCAAGCTCCACAACGGTTGAGCATTTCGGCTTACAAACAGCTGACGCAGCCAGCGCGCTCTACACTGCCTTGCTGATAAGGCTCCGCGAGTCCTTGCGATGCACGGCCTCACGAGCGCGGCGAAGCCATGCAGCCAAATCCTGCAGAGTCAATCTAAAGAATCTGTTGGATTGCATCTTTCGGGAGGACCTCGGTGGCTGGGATCCGGTCCTGTGAAAGTTGCTGGGCCCGCGTAGCCAGATCTTGTGCCTTTTCGAAATCCTCCAGACTCTCACGCCACTTCCCCGAGTCGAAACGAAGAATTCCACGCAACAGCCTAGGCTGTTCCCCGCTCTCAGCTCAGCTCGGCTCGATCGAAACCCAGTGGCAGTTGTAAGTTATGAGAATTGGTGCAGCTGAAGAGCAGTGCTGGGGCAGACTTCTCTCTCTCCATGAAGCAGCACGCTTCGGAGACTTCTGTCAAGGCTGCTTCTAGCTCGCCCTCCATCCTCAATGCCTCGGCCGTCCTCACATGTCGCTGCTTTTCCAGAATTCTAACATTCCCCGAAAAGGGCTTTCAATTTAAAGTCCGGGTGCTTGAGGTGCAGCTGGGCGCGGAGGTCCACGTCCCATGAGCCACCCAGGCGCGCGGCCGCGTAGCGCTCGCGGGCCTCCTTCGCCTCGCCTCGCTTCAGAAACCGGTCCTCAGGCTGCGATGCATGTAATGCGAGGTCTCTGAGAGTTGCAGATTCTGGTTCCTGGCCCTGCTCACTGCTCCACCCTTCAACAGCAAGGCCGAGCATGCGGAATCGGCCCTCTCGCTTGAAGCTGGGTGTCGCCCTGGGCCTTCAGCTCCGAGGCAGCATCGACCCTTAGATACAAATTCAATTCTGTGTCCGAGCCGGCTCTGAGCCTTCTCTATACATCTCTATACCGTGAGGATGTATTTTCACAGCAGAAGACTTCTCATCATTAGACTCCGTACGAGCTGCCATTTCCTGTGCCAATCTGAGAGGGTTGCGTTGTAGCTCTCATCCAGTTTTGCTGTCGAGCTGCGCTCGCAGCAAAGCGGCCGCACGAAGCGCAGGGCCAGAATCGAAGTCCACTGGCTGCAGCAGGGCTCCCAGGCCCAGCGAGCTACCGTCGATCCTGGGCCGGGCAGGGCGCAGTTTTCGACCGCCTCAAAAGGGCTCTTGAAGAGGCGAGTCTCAGGAGAAAGCCGCGCGCTTCCTCCAGCTTCTTCTCTCGACAGTCTGCGCAGAGCCTCCGGAGCTCAAAGGGCGCCAACTCCACCCACGCTTGCCTCAGACCACCCTCGATTCTCTCTGCTCTCTCTGCACTCGCATTCATCCATTCATCCTCCCAGAGTATCAACTGATGCCCAGCTGCCCCTTGGCATCTGTCTCACGCTTTGGGAAGACCATGACTTTGTGGCCCTTGCCCAGCAAGCACCAACTGGGAGCCTTTTCGTCGCAGCGCTTCTTCACTAGTACATTCTTGTACACGACCTCGAACCACTCCATCGCAGGGCCTGTCAAAAGACAAACTCCCTAGCCGTGGCTTCAGAAGGGGAAGCAACCCGAACACCCACCATCGCCAGCATCATCGATGTCAAAAGTGGCCCCGTTCACCCCCTCTATCATAGCAAGAGTCGAGTCGCTCCTGCAAAACGAAACTGAAGACTCCGTCCCAAACTGTGAGGATATAAACCTGTATCTAACGTGCGCTTGCTCCCGGCCTTGACCTGCAATGCTACCTGCCTCCTTGGCCTGGCACGTAGATGTGGATATGCAAAAGCAGCTCAGCACCATGCAGTTGCACCCGGGATTTTGTATCCAGAGCCTCCTGTACCAATGACTCCAGCACTTCCTTTCCCTCCGCTTGACGGCAGAGGAGCCCCGCAGCACCGTGCAGCAGCAGGTCCTTGCATCGCACGTCCATAGTTCTCATGTTCTATACTATGCTATACTATACTACGTTCTACGATGCTGTATTATGTACGCTATACGATGCACTATTGCATGCAGATTCCCTGATCGGCCCTGGGTCCGAGCCTCAGGGCGTGGACTTCCAGCCACGGTCTTGAGCATTTCCTGACCCAGCTCGGCCCAACTTCGGAGTTTCAGAAAGGGGTATCTATAGGGACGGGGTATAAGGGGACTATACTGGGATCACTATACACACTATACTAGTAGTTACTAGTAGAGTATCTTATGGTACAAAAATAGAGCTCGTTCTGCTGCGCTCCGTTGCTCTCACGATGCTCCTCCGCCAGCTTCTTCGCCTCGAAGGCGCGGAGGTATTGCCGGGCCTGAAGTAAGGCGTGGAGCTGCAGTGGCCGCAGCCTCCTCAGCATATCGGAACCGTCACCGTCTGGGGGCTCAGCTTCAGCTTCCTGTGTATGTTGACTTTTATAGGTGCTGCGAACCGAATAAGGCCCCATCCAAGCAGATGCGCCCAAACGAGCAGCTTCCTGCCAGAGTTATCATCACACGGGGCGGAGAAAGACAGCGGGCCCGGAGGTCACGAGGAGCTCCTTGAGGTGGCCCAGAGCTCGCTTGCCGGACTCCTCCTCCGCCAGCTTGCAGCTTTGCTTCTACTGGGACCTCTCGCAAGAAGAACCTTCGCTGAGCCCGGCACATGGCTGAAATCTGGAGTCAGAAGGTCCGCTACCTCGTGCTGAGCACAACGGCTGTCGCCACTCGAAGCGCGGTGCAAAGAACGTCTTCCGTGCCTGGGCAAGTTTTGGCATGATCTTCTGCAGGTTGCGCAGCTGCACCTGAATTTTGGACTGCTCACGTGGCCTCAGCAGACGGGGTTCGGAAGCGAAGCGACGGGGCGACGCGAGTCGTCCTGGGATCCTTGCTTCACCTCCGCCTCCCCGCGCTTCAGTACCGCTTCAGCTTGTTTCAGGTCACCTTCAAGGACGAAGCACCTCTGCTGCGGTTGCTGAAGCGATTCAAGGCTGTCAAGGCTGTTTCTGGCTCATCAACAACTTTAAATGGTAGGCGCATCGCCTTGATGCCAGCAAGTATGCCTCGGCAATGTTCGGCTGCAGCTCGATGGCCGCTTCGCAGTCCTGGACTCCAGAGCAGCATGGGCCAAGGAGAAATCTTTTCCCGGATTGTTCCGCTCCGGTGCCTCCAAAGCCAGTCTCAAAGCATCGGGGCCCCGTGCAACGAGCTCCAACAACTGACCAACCTGAGCGTCATGAAGATGTGCATGCCAGGTCTCAAGCAAACAGGCTTTCTCACAAGTCCGTCTGCTACCGAGCGGCATGCGGGGACGCGACCAGGGCGTATCCCAAGCTGTCCAGCAACTTGACCCAGCCATCGACGGGTTCGCCATCCACACGGATGATCCTTGTAAGATAAAAAGGGCACGACAGTCCGGAGCTCAAAGGACCGCGTGTGTCTAGCTGTATGTAGCTGTCTTCCTTCCAAGTCTCTGGTTGTAGCGCAGGGACCGCGTAATGCGACCCGTCGGGTCGCCGGTTTCTGCGCTGACAGATCTGTCCCTTCCTGAGCGGCACACTACAAACTGCATGCCTCGGAAGACCGTGGAACAGAGAACATTCCCATTTCCATGAGTGCAAGATTCTGATGGCCATGAGCTTGTAGATGCAGCGCCTTTGTTGCGGAGACAGGGTTTCTGTCTGGAAGCCACAAGAATGCAACACCTGTTGGCCCACAGTAATTACGAAATCACCTTTAATTTCCTGCTGCCACTATAGTCCTGTATGCTGCCGCTACGAGGCACCAGTGATTGGTCCATGGCTTATGCCCAGCGTACGGCTCTCCTTGGCGTAGAGCAGGTGTGCAGACACAGTGCTGCATGTTCAGGATCTCTGGACTTTCTGTGCATTATAACCGATAGACTCTACTCTATCTTACTCCATCTTTTGCATGCCATACCAGTTCTATATAGTACTGCACCGTATCATGCCTATACTATTCTGCTTTCTTATACTGATACTGCGTACGAGAGGCCGAGGGCCAAGCGCACGGTGGCACGGGCACGGAGCAGCGGTGCTTTTCGGGGTGCTGCAATGCGCAGCGCTGCGCTGAGGAGACGCTCTGCCTGTCGCTTTTGGCGGCTATAGGTCTTGAATGTAGCTTCAGAAGCTAGCCCAGACTCACACCGAAAATCAGAATGGAAATTTAACAGAACGTGGTGAGATTTGGAAACAAACCACGCGTGGTTCTGCTGGAATTTGGACAGGATTTTGCTGGAACTTTCGACCCAGCCTCCTCGAAGTGGTTGTTGTGGTAGGCCTCGAGCCCGACCTCCTCGAGCTCGTACGGCCCCATCCGCGAGATTCTTTCATACTCCTGACCATCGGAGACCCTACGGGGCGTGAGGGGATATATTTTTGCCTCCCGCCTGGCTAGGACGAACCTACGATGCAGGGTACACTCATGGTATCACACACAGGAACTATACACATGTCAGTCGGCTCATCATCTTCTGATGGCAGGCTATCGCGTTGACTTTGCAATGCTGACAAAAGGCAGCTCAGACAGCGAAGTATATGTTGCACACACTCCGCATTATCGACATGCAACTTGACTCAGCTGTTCGCGGATTCACACGTTGGTGTTGACTTATTCCCTGCCCGTCTCCACTGTTTTCCAGCTCCTTGTCGCCCCTCACACATGCAGTTGTTTTTGGTTCTTTCACAAAGTTGCCACGCCATTGCAGCCATTGCATGCATTCTCCGCAGCATTGCCCCGACAGTCACCATTGATAACAACATGCAGTCGCATGCAATCGCATTCCATGCAGACACTTCTGTCGATCCACATTGCACCATGCAGTCAAACTCGACTGGGGATATATGGGGATGGCTGCGGGCGCTGTTAACAGACGGACGACTCTCAAAGCAGCGTCCGACTCTGACTCAAAGCGTCCTCGTCGTTGGCCTCCTGGCAGGCCTTTGCAAGCGCCGCGTCTGGACCCGGCTGTGGTGACATTCTGCCATGGCTGTGTCTTGCCAGGACGTTTTGCACTTGGCCGGAACTGCAAGCTCACGCTACTCTTCGTGGCTTTGTGCAACGTCTGGCTACGAAGCCTCTGCAACTAGGTGCTGCTAGGGTGGGAAACTGTAAACAGTCCTGGTCTTGTCGTTGAGATACTCTAAGCTCAACATCCAGACTACATATAGTACCGTGCACGATTAGCAGATTAGCACGTCAGGGCAGTACGCCCGCTGCATGAGAAGCAGAGGAAGATGTTTCTATCCAAATTCTTGGCCTAAAATGCAAGAAGAGGCGAAAGGTTGCTGTTGCCACGATGCAGAGTTTGCACCCGAAGCTTGACAGAAAGCTTTTCCTCGAGATGCAGCAGTCTTGAAACCAGCTGCTGGAGGCTCTGCTGGCTGTACTGTCCAGGCATCTCTTCACTAATTAGCTGTCCTCTTCGGAGCCACCTTGCCCAGAAACCAAGTGGATTTGCCAAGACTGGCCATCGCAAAGGGGGCCCGCCAAATTCCGGAGTGAAACGACTTCCGCGTCACAATATGGAGAGGCGAGGCCAGCGTTGGTGGCTCTTCCTCTCAGCAGGCTAGAGGCAAAGTCAGTAGCGCGAACTGGTGTTCCAGGTCCTGCAAATCTGATATGAGCAAGGCGAACATGGCCATGCGGCCGGTTTCTGCATCGTAGCTCTCTAGCGGAGCCCAGTAGGCCTTTGCTGCACGACGGAAAGCCAATGCCCGACAGGCCGACGTACTGTCACAACCGAGAAAAAGCAGCTTGATCGCTCTGTCTTGATAGCTTGTGCGTTTGACAAGGCTCTGCACCAATGTTGACCCTCATACTAACATTCACTATCATCACCCACTTGTAGCTGTACATGAGCGCATGTCTGCAAAGCACTTCCGGGTCTGCGGCCAAGCCCTCCAGCAACACTGCCATTGTAGTGTTGTGCACTACGCTCTCTGTGCGACACATGGGTGCCATTGGACTTGACACCTCAGTTCTCTTGTAAATCATTACAGGGCACGAGCACCAACAGAATCTCATGGTTGCCTGACCTCACGCCTTGACAGCATGCTTTCTGCAGCCGTGCGTGCTACGAAGCCCTCGGCGTGGAGCAAAGCAGCACGCCATTGACCTATCCCAAGAACTCTGCGAAATACTGCGTTGCAAGCGCAAAACGAACCACAGTGACCGTTGCTTGCAAGAATGCGCATTTCCACGTTTGCTTTCGTGTACAAATAGTCGTGTCGCTGTGAAGAGAAAGTGGGCAGGAATGGTGCAGGCTGTGAAGAAACCAGAATCTCACTGCTGCTGGAACACGCATCATCTGTGCCAGCGCATAGTTCGGCCCCTGGCTGAGAAACGAATACACTTGCAGGCGCGGAGAAGAGCTCCACTCATCGTTGATATTCAAATATTCAAACACAACATGCATGCCGGCAGGCCGCTCCAAACCTATGAAGCTGCCTTCCTTTCATGTTGTTGTATGTCTTGAGGCATCAACTTCACGCATCTTAGAGACTCGGTACATGGAATTGCCAGAGTTCCTGCCGAAAGCCAGGGCTAAAGTATTCCGGACACAAAGCCGCAAGCAGGGCGCAGGGTGCCTGCAACACTTCGAAGGCGCTGAGGAATGCACGTGAGCCGCCCAGGTCGCTGGTGTGTTGTCCTCGGTTTCGCATCGCTTTCGCTTCTGCCGAGACCGATTGCCTTCTGATGCCGAGCTTCTCTTGCCGAACATCTTTGCCCATTGGCTAGAGGTCTGGAAGATCCGCTCTTGCGCTTGAAGCGCCTCGTCAGGCTCAAGAGTACCAAGCATGCAGAATGCTACCTGCAAGCTACTGCAAGTAGCAGTGTTTGTGTGGTTGTTTAGGTCGTCGCATGGAGGCTATCTATCTCAGAGAAGGAGGTTCCTAAGGATTAGTTGGGCGGGTCAGGGGTCGGACCAAGTCTGAGAGGCGCTGGCCGCTGTCCCAGAAGGCGGCTAGGCCCAAAATGGTTCAGCTCGTTTTGCGGAACGGGGAAGCCCTTTGTTGTCCTGGTCCGTCTCTATCTTATATGGCCCGGCTCGGACCCACGAATCGCTCAGTCAACTCTCCGTACACCGACACAGCCGAGGCATGTGGGAACCTCCGCAGGAATCGCGGTCGATGTGCCGCAGCTCGCCTCAGATCACAGCATGCATTGCATGCACGCTACTGGCTTGTGACTCAAGCGCTGAACAACTCAACTGCTCTTGCCGCATAGAAAATCCACGGGGCAAGGTAGGCGAAACTGACTTTGTCAGTTCCAAGTGGTTTCAGAGCATCCACCGCGTAGTCGGCTGCAACGGTGAGTCGCACCTTTGCACGGTTCGAGCGCGGGACTCCCAATGCATATCGCACATCCTGGACCGAGGTGCGACCTCTTCTGTGCCATCGAGAGACATTCGCTTCACCATCTGCATACAGGTAGGTTCCAAGAGTCACCTGCCAGCCAAATGCAGTCGCAGTTTAGCTCCATCGGCCCGGGTTTTAGGACTACACACCCGCCTTGCCAGGCGCCTCCTTGGCCACACGTCGCATCCTGCCGTTTCTGCAAAACGGCCTTTAGGTGGGCAAGGCCGCAAAGCTACGTAGCTGAGCTCCCAGCCAGTCGACCACTGCTGGCGCTTCGGCTAGCAGGTCAGCTCCAGCAACAGCTGCGAGATCCTTCACTCATCTCTACAGTAAACTGCAATGTGCAACCACCTGCTTCAGCGAAAAGTAGGGCCTGCCTGAGAAAAAACTGAAACAAGAACCGTAGCGGCCTATGTTTATCGTTTTGATTCCAAGATAGAAACAACACATGCAGCGTTCTACTAGTCGTTTGCATACATTTAGATACTGTGAGCTGCTAGGACCTAGGACCGGCTCTCCTGGCCTCATCGTTGGCAGGCTGGTTGCCCAAGACTGGCACCAGCAACTTCCCGGCTGACTTTTTAGCGAAGGCGATCAAGTCCGCCCATCGCTTGGGCCGGCGAGTCGCGACGGCAGCTACGGTTGCACCAGCCTCACACAACAGGCTCCCCCTCGCTGTGATGGGCGTAACAGCGTAACAGACAGGCCTGCAACAACGGTCGCACCGGCCCGAGTTCGGACCCTGCGCCGAGCCTCAATCGCGCTGCCAGTTGTGACTGAACCCGCAAGCTACCGCATGCCGAACACAGTTTCTCTACAAGCAGAGAACAGTCATGCAACGGCACTACCACAGCGTGGTACACCTCTGCAGAGTCAGTTGATCTGTTGAATCCTCGCTTCCTCGGACCTTTGCAGCCAGGTCTCACAAGAAAAGTCCTGCCGGCGAGGCTGCCCAGCTGTCTCGCGCCGATCTTTATGGCTGCAGCACAGTCTGGTTCCATTGTCCCATAGTCGGCCCACTTGTCCTTGGAAACCAAGTCTTGCCTCCTGGACTCCAGTGCGTTTGCGTACCGCCGACCGTGTGCTATTGCAACTTGCCGTCTACTACTACTACTACTACTACTACTACTACTACTACTACTACTACTACTACTACTGCTATTACTACGACGACGACGACCACGACCACGACCACGACCACGACCACGACCACGACCACGACCACGACCACCACCACCACCACCACCACCACCTCTACCCTACTACTATCTACTACGACTTTAGGACCTCTAAGACTTCTACTCTCATGCAGTCCGGTGGCGCACTGCGAGTCGAGCTCTTCTCCACTCAGATGCCTTCCGCCATACGGCAGGAAAAATCTCTCTGTGGGAGCACCATCTCCCTGCACCTGAGACGGTCTGCAAGCTGCAATCGTCTCCTAATCTCGCGGTCCGCTCTCATCAATCAAAGGATTGAGGCTGAATGACGCTAAGGAGCTGTGACAGTCTGAAACTTCCTGAACTGGCAGCAGCGGCCAAGAACCCTGTAAGAAAATGCAGTTTCAGCAGTGAACTCTTGTATCAATCGTCGTGTCCAGGAAATCATGAACCCCCATATGCAGCCACGTGTCACACTTGGTGCTGACATGGCTGCACTTAAAGCGACATATTTGCCATCAGCGCACTCGAACTGCATCGCGCGTGCCTGTGCCCACAAGGCCTTCCCAAAGGCCAACAATCCCTACAATCCCTACAACTCCATGGAGCCACCTAGCATCCCAGTTTTGGGTATTTGTAGCTGGGCTTGGGATGTCCGCCAGGGAAGACGCACAGGTATCGTGCCAAGTACTTACCCCTGTGGCGCTGCAGTGACCCCCCCTACTGTAACCTCTATACTAACCCACCCTTATAGTAACCTGCTCTTATCCTATTGGAACCCGCTGAATTTCATCGTCTGCTCCGGGAACCTTCTCAAGGCCGGTTTTCAGGATGTCTTGCAGCGCAGTCCCATCCTGGCAAAAACAATGGGACAGCAACTGATACAGTGTTTACAATTGCGCTTCCCGCGTTGCCGGCTAGTTAACTGACGATAGGGCTTTGATGTACATTGACGTCGGGTCTTGGGCGTAAACTAGGCTTCGGAAGGGCTTGGGTTCAATGGCGCTTTCAGGGATGGGTTCGACTCACGACTCGCATAAGGCGGCCTAGGCTAGGCTACGCCCCACACAATCCAGATTTAGGGATGGTTTCAACTCGCACACTCGCACGGGGGCATGCGCGGCTTGATGAGGATGGTTTAGGGCCCAGGCTTAGGATGGCGTAAAGTGAACGACTTGACAGCTCGGACCCGAAGCTTCACATGGCGGCCTGTATTCTCAGCGTCCGCTCGATCAGGGCGTCCAAGTGAACATGGTACCTTGAGGTCGGAACTTTCCACTTTTCAACAGTGCAAGTCTAAGTGTGACAGAAGACGGCAGCCTGCCCTGAGTCCGTGATCGTCAGTTCAACTCCGAAACTGAATGCGGCAAAAGTTGCTGATGGCGCCAATCTTTCTCAGACTTGATCTTCTGCTCAAGATCCTTTCAGCAAGCCAGGGGGCAAGATTCAAAAGGCAAAGCTCATCACACTGACGCAAAAGCTCTTTCGATGAAAGGCCTTGCCCTCAGCGCTTGCCAAGGCAGCTGCCATCGCTGCATACACACTCTTGTTAAACGAAGTCGTGGACCTGACAACAGCTTCAGTTGCGACAGGGTGGGCAAACCCTTGAGCGCGATGTCGCGGAATCATGCCGGAAACACATCGCCGACAGTAGCAAAAGGCTCAGGTTTATGGTGCCAGATTGGACGAGAGACATTGACATGAAGTCGGGAGAGCTCCTATAGAACCTTCGCAGAACCTTGTAGATAGAACCTTAACCATCATTTTGGAGCTTCGGACCCTGAACCCTACAATCCAATTCTCACTTTCTGGGCATCGTGCCTATCGCCCTTCTCATTGGCAGGGAACTGGATGCCAGCCATGGCGTGGGCCTCAAAACCTGGCCTGCTGCTTTGGGCCGAGATGCTGGCACTTCATGCAATTCCTACGGTTGATGATATAAATCCTGCATTACCTTAAGGAACCTAAAGTATGGGAATTATGGCATATTCCTTATTATGGGTAATGCAGGATTTATATCATCAACCGTACTGGTATGTACTGGTCAACTTTCCTTGGGCTTATAGGGCACGCCTGCTACTTTGGCGGGGTCGCAACGCAGCCTGAACCCGAGTCAATTGCATGATTCGAGCCGCCAGTTTGCTCGGCCCCGCTGTCCTGATCAAGGGCCTTGAAGTTTGGTGGCACCTCGGATGGCAATCCTGGCTCATTACATCGCGGGTACGATGCATCCTCCATCATATCATGATCAGACTGCAAACTGACTCTACAACATCCTGTCGTGCAGCGGAGGCCCGCACGGCCTGTTCTGGAGGTTCGACCTGAAAAATGCCCGTGAAGGCGGGCTTCTGTGCTGAATCACGTGTTGAGCGCAGTCAGTACAAAGCTTCCCAAGTCCCCAGCAGCACGCGGTGTGTCCGGCACCGGTCCGAGTGTTAGCAGCGCCTTCCGCTCCGGTCCGGTGACATGTATCGACACTGGCTAAGCCAACCTCCCGAACTGCTGTCTACTTTAATTGTCGTTTTACGATGTCCTCTCGAAGTGGCGAGCGGGTGCTGTAGCAGAGACACTGTGCACATGGCCAGGAGGCATACGGAGTCGGCACGCCAGCCGACAGCCCGGAGCATGCACTGCGAGCTTATGCGGGGGAATGCTTGGTGCACAAGCACAGCAGACACAGCAGCAAGGGCAGGAAGCTCAAGACTGCAAAGCGAGTTGAAACCACAATCCCGGTACCCACATGCATGCTACCATGCTGCTTTACGCCTCCATCGAGGTCAGCAACTTCTCCTTACTTGTTGAAGCAAACAAACATCGACTTATGTGGAAGTGACAGTGACCTCCATCACTGCCAACGTAGCTCTTTAAGTCAAGGCTCCAAGAACTCGAAGTGGGAAGGGCTCGACATCAAGCTGGTGTCCTAAGCTCTGGACCAGAAATCATCATATGATATGGCCAGCTGTCTTAAGATGCCACACGTGAGCTCAGGGCATACAGTGTCTTGTCGACATCGTACAGCCTGACACGACGGCAGGCCCTCGCGTCTCCACGAATCCAGTGGGTAAAGAGGAGTCCGTGAGTCTATGCAAGTCAACACACAGCATATGCCAATGCAGGGACTAGATGACAAGCCAAAGTGCCTTGCCTCCTCGAAGGTTACAGCGAAGCTGCGTTCACACATTCGGCAGAAAAAAACATGCCAGCAAGCACAGCAGCTGCAGCAAGTGAAGCCACCGAGTTCGAAGATGTCTGGTGACCTCAATATCTTATGACTGGCGCCTTTTGCAGCGCTGCGCTGTTTGTTTTGCGCGGTGGCTACGACAACATTGGACAGCCGAGTACATCCAATGCCGCAACTTGGAGTATAGACGCGCTGCATCTCTCAAACAAAAAAACTAGAGATGATCTGGGCTCCGGTCCACGGCCACTGGTGTGACATCTTCCACTGGTTGTACCTACAAAAACCACACACAGACAGAGAAACCCGCCAACTCCTTATCAGGAGATCAGCATGCACAAATCACGACAATTCCATCGATCCCAGACTGTCCTTCACGTGTGCAGTGTGTACAGCCGCAGCAGAAAACAGCCAAACTTTCGCGAACATGAACTCGCACTCATAGATGACATGTGTGTACATGGGGGTCATCATCAGTGTTAATGCCTTTCTGCCTCCCGCAAATATAGGAACATGCGTGTTTGCAGGGGTGGATGAACGGATGAGTGTCAATCGATTAATACCGTAGTACGGATGGATGCAAATATGCATGTATGGATGGATGTGTGTATGTAAACTATATACTGTATACAGTATACACACATCCATCCATCCATCCATCCATCCATGTATGCATATATATATACACACATATTTTATGCATACTTATATATATATATATATATATATGTACATTACTTTATGTGCATATTTACATACACACGATATTCCCATACTCACGCATGTATACATACCTATATCTAGAGAGCATGATCTGCACGACAAAGCTGTTGGGTCAGCCATCGCTATAGAGTTGTGTGTTCGGAAGGCCATTGAATGCCAGGACTACAGGGTTCTGTCTTCGGAAGGTCCGCTGCAGTCTCAGCACACTCTTCCAATGCCGGCTGTTCCGGCTGTTATGCCGTTCCATCGCAACGTCGCTAGTTTTTCCTGCCGTTTACAAAAGCCTGACAATTCATGCCGGATCTGACTCGAGTAGGTCGATTCTGAGCTTTCGGTATGAACGGGATCTACACCAACCACCTTCGGTTACAGGTTTCTTAACAAAGTCAGGTTCCTACAGTCGTTGTTCCACTCGCCTTGTTGAGGAGTGCCAAGGCGTGGATCGAGGAGAAGATGTCGGACTGCCGGAACGAAAGGGACGATGAAAGAAGCGCAGGGCTTTGCACTTTGAACCCTGCCCGAAAAGCATGCGAACCCAGCAAGCGGTGCTGGGGCCGTGGCCACAAAAGGCTTGTTGATCAAGTTATTGCTACGCCCCTCGGCAATGCCCACCAAGAGGTCCTGAGCAAACAGCCCCTCTGACTCTAGTGACGTTGAATTGCTAAGTATCAAAATTGTTGCGACCGGCTGCATGTCATTTCTCCAAGGTTAACTGAGCTAACGGACCCTTGCAGCCAGAAGAACTGCCAATGTAAGGGGACCCTCCCCACTACTGGACTGTAGCTGGGGATGTTGCGAGGCAGCTGGCATAGTACACCAGCCTCGGGAAGTCGGAGAGTCGGAGAGCTCAGGTTGCTCTCTCTACCACCGATCCTCTGTTACCACTATCAGAGCCCGGGCGTCTCTCTGCTCTCCGAGGCTGGAGCTCGCCGTCCTGCGGCCTCCATCCTTCGAAGCACAGATAAGCCCTCCGGTGCGATTCGCGGTGCCAGAGAGCTGGGGTCGAAGCCGTCTGGGGATGGGCGCTTCAACATCTCCTGTTGCCAACATGCAGCATGTTTCAGAGGGCTCCGTGAGCTCTTGGGACAGGCGCAAGTCGCTCTACTCTCATCCCTGCGCTGTCCGTGGAGGTGAAGTTCTGAATGAGCTGTCGAACACGATCCTCGACAGTCAGCGAACATATGCGAACATGTGACATCATGTCGCAATCGGAGCATGCGGACTTAGTCGGCTGCCAGCATCAAGCCAGCATTCATCAGGTTCTTACCGTTGTGCTTCTGGAGGCACTGCAGGCAGGTTGTGAAGTCAGGCGACATGGAGCAAGCGTCGGCGCGGCTTCCGGCCTCGATCACAAGGATCTGGTTCCTCGATACACCTTGGGAACCGACCTCGGCACTTCAGTAACAGCTGTGCCCTCCCGGGTTGAGTGTGATGCACTACTGCAGGTACCGGGGCGTTTCTCCTCTTTGTCATCTGGTACTGCCTCGGCTGCCTGGCTAAAAGCCGGAGGCAGGCTCAAGAGCCACTCAGCTCCATCACTCCTCGAAGGCCCTGCAAATCCGCTTGTGTCGCCGTGCCGCAGGATTCTGTTCCTCACTGGAGCCAAGTGCTGATCTTGGTGAGACCCTGCGACTTTCGGCACCATGCAGCTTCCGAGGCACATGTTGCGGCCGATCTCCACTTGCAACTTACGTAGACTTGGTATAAATCTCTGTTCCTTTAGCCCTGGGGCTGCACAGCCCGGTCCAGAACGTGGAGTCCACGACTCCCAGGATTTAATCCTGAGCCGTGGCTGAATCACTCTTGGCCTGGTCCCGATCTCATTCGCCCGAGGCCATGAGGTACTCGACCTGCCACCAGGGGTCTCCGCACTTCAGCTGACTGTTGCAAGGGGTCTTGCTGACAGGGTGCTGCTCTTTCCACATTTCCACTGCAGCCGTCCAATGCATTTCGCGCTTGGGTGGCCGTAAAGCCCATGCCCACGAGAGTAGCAATCTTCCTCAATATAGACAGAGCCCTCTGGCTCATGTCACTCATGTCTGCTTGATCGTGCCTCTTTGACTCCTGCTCTCCCCAGATCCTATGAATCCCATACATTTGCATCCCAGCATCTCGTCCATGGCACTTGACACAGGTGCCGTCGGTGTCGGCTGTGCCCGCGGGGGCGGGGAACGAGGGCTCGTTGGAGGCGCGGGCTCGGGCGACACAGTTGACCTGTGAATGCTGCATTTTCTGTCGTCGAAGGCGTCTCTAACCTGGAAAATTGAGGCCCCTGCAGCAGCAGCTGCATCGCTTGGTCAAGATTGCCTGCACATGTAATGTGCTAGTCCAGAAAAGGCAAGGGAGCTCGGACTTTGCACACTCTGTGCCGCGTCTGTCTCTGTCGAGCAGCCGTTGGTCGCTTCCAGAGCATTCTTCGCAGCAACCTCCTCAAAGCCCATATCCTGTAGAGAAGCTGGGCCAAAGCAATGATCAAAAACTCCCATCTAAGCAGGGAGGCTGGGTTCCTCTCAGCACAGCCACATGCACAGCTGCGCAGAGCCGCTATAGTGTCATATAGTGTCTCCTTGAGAGTCTTGACGTCCTCTTTTCTGGGCTTCGAAGCTTTGGGCTTTGGACCTCTGACGACACATCAGCGCAAGTCAGTGCCAGAGCGCTCCGAAGAGAAATCGTGCTCAGCATGTAAACGCTGCTGAGGCTAGGCTGGTTTTCAAGTTCTGATTCATGCTTTGATGGCCCACCTGCCAGCTTCGTGTTGTCGGTCAGGCGAGCCGGTATCTCAGCACCTTTGCCATCAAAGCCGCGCACCATCCAATGATATTTGACATATGCTTCTAGTTGATTCTAGTTCCTGCATGCCGCAAGGGTGCTTGGCACCAGTGCTGGTACCACGTCCCTGGTTTCAGTCGAATCATCTCCTGCGGGGAGTTCTGGCTGCTTGAAACACGCGAACAGCAACGTGTGGAACATCTATCGTCGATCGCGTCTGCGGCCCGAGATCTCGTCTCCTGACCCGTTGCCACCTTCAAGCATGGAAACAGCTCAGATCTTGGACCAAGCTGTCTGACTAGAAAAACAGTCCAGCCAAGGGACAGCATGGATCTGAGAGGACCTCAGGCTTCTCTTGGTTTCAACGTCCTTAACCAAATCTACACAACTTCTGAGCTGCAGGCAGAGCCCATGGCGAGGGGCCCTCCTTCTTCGCGTGTGCCAGACTCTCTGAAGCTGCCGGGGAGGTAGCCCAGATGCAAGGCCGCAGGCCGCAGGCAGTGCAACGAAGGCTAGGGCAACATGTCGTGGGATGCATGGAGAGTCATGCAAGCTGGCATCTGATCACTCAATTTCAGTCCTGCTCGAATAGAGAGATGGTGGCTCTGCTGGCACTATGCAAACTAATTTCATGGAGACGTGGGGCAGGGTCCGGTGTCTTTGGCCGCCGCCCTGCCCAGCTTAAGCAAATATCGGGGCTAAGTGTTGAACCAGCTCGTTGCCGGTCCTGGTCCTATAGGCCCAACCTTCCGGGGCGGGTGAAACGAGCACCAGCTACGCAGCTGTTCGGCATGAATGCTCACAACGCATCAGTGCCAAAGACACGCGGAGGTGCAAAGATAGGAAATCTGCACCCCAATGTCATCCGTATACTGTGTCTGGTGCGCGGGTAGTTTTCCTTCTTCCGCACCTCCACTACAAGAAGAAACTGCGTCCTGCTTTGCTTCATGACGCTTGGGTGGTGAGATATTCGACCTTGCAAGACACACGGCGAGTCCAAGCCCAGCTACAGAAGCGAATCCGAAACAGCCCTAAACAGCCTTCCGCCTTAAAAACCATCAGATCCTGCAGATCTCAACCCTGAAACCCTGAGCTTTGAACACTTGGCTTACCAGGTCTGGCTAGCTTTGATATCCCAGAGGCAGCTCGCTCCAGGTTGCCGCTGCAACCATCGAGGGCATCACGGGCCTGGACCTCAGTGAAGCCCATGCCAACCAGGGTGTCCACTTTCCTCGGTGCACACATGGGGCTTTCAGAACAGAAGCGGCGCCCTTAAATGGTCCTTCTGAAAAGTCGGTCCTTAGCCAAGGTATCCGGAAAATTACAGAACCTCACAACTAGCGAGGCAGGTGCAGGATCGCCAGCTCACAGCTCTCTCGTGCTACAGTACACTACAAAACACTATTCCCTCCGACTCGTGTCTGAAGGGAGAAGCAGAATCTCTTTAGCACCGAGCAGCTCCGAAAGAGGGTCGACCTCCGGCGTGACGTGGTTCACAAGCTGTGTTGATGATGTGGGTGTCACAGCTATAGGCTATAGGCTTGGTTTGCTCTACAAGTAATGGCCAACCATAGACCACACCAAAACAAACGGAAAAACTGCACAGAGAGGCTTCACAACTCCGCACAAGGAGAGTTGGCTCGGGCCTTTCCACTTTTGACCCACACTGGAAACTAGTCTCGTTCATCTCCGGCATACTAGTTACTAGTAGCAGACAGCATTCGAGACAAATGCTTGCGGCAACACACCTGTCTACAGGCTTTCTCAAGGCCTCCTACTCCCTGGCTTTGTGTGGGTGCCTCTGCTGGGGGCGGTGGTGGCGGCGGAATCGCCATCTCTGGGGACTCGGCAGCAGCACTCCTGCAGTCGTGGAGGGGCTTTGCCAAGCTTAGACCATCGAGTTTGAAGCTGTGGGCACGAGGCACGAGTCTATCGAGTCGCTTGCCATCGTTACAGTGCTTTCCCTGCTGAGGAAGGGGCGCAAGTAACAGCTGGGTTGCTTGGTCCAAGTTGCCTCGGAAGCAGCGACATGGCGACACGTGCCACAAAGCCGCTCTTGAACCAGAATCTCGACGCTCCCGTCCAAGGAAAAGCTTGGTGTCCGAGATGCCATTGCAGGCTTCAAGCGCATTTGTTGCGGCCACTTCTTGGAAGCCCATATCCTGCTATTTGCAGGACAGGTGGTCGATGTGTGCCACTTCAAAAGGTCGTGCACCGAGACTGTCCTTGAGGTGCTGTACATCCTGCGGCGACACCCTGGCGGGTCTCGTGCCTCAGCATCTGGATAACTCCAAGTCGGCACGGCCACACTCATAACCCCAATGAGCTTTTGCAGCCATGACACCTGGTAACAAGTCGGGAGCGACGTTCCTGATCTCGTCTTCTCCTGCGCCCGCGGAGTCACCCTGCAACGGTATGCAAACGGATGTACCCAAGAAACCAGACCGGAATTCTTCGCCCTTCTCTCCTGTGGTCTCGCCACCTGGGAGCCGAGAAGCTGAACCAAGTTCAAGCTCAGGCGTCATCAGGAGGGTGGACAAGCAAAGGCAAGAAAGCTGAAGAGGCACCGGTTTCGTATGAATGGAGAAGTCAGTACTTCGCGGGCACAGGAAAAAGCTGTTCGTTTCGATGTTTCACGCAGGCTGCTGACAGGGCCAAGCTTCAAGCCCATTTGCTTGCACATGAATCCTCCTGCGACCAGGCCACAGCAGGTGTCCGACAGCGTCGCAGCCATGTCTGACATCGCCTGTCCACGGAGTCACACGTCTGGTCGACAGCATCCTTCAATTTCTCTCTGTATCCAAGTTCTCGGCTTGTCCCATGGTTCAAAATTGCAGGAGCTGGGCGGCAGATTGCTGGGCCAGTCAAAAGTGCTGCAGTCACGGACAAGCACCCATGCCGGAGACACTGCAGCAACGTGCAAATATCCAACCCAGCATGGCGGTACAGTAAATTCCTGAGCCATGCAGCTGAGGGAGACACAGCGACGATGCTGCTTAAGAAGAACGTGTACCAAGGCCTCGATGGAAACGAAGGCAAGGAACAAATTCCTACTCTTCGATGGTCCGGCAGGCTCCGGGCACATAGCGCCCTGCACGCTTGGTCCGCACCTCGTCAACCAACACGAGGGAGAGAAGTGGAGCAGCTTCTCGATAGATAAACTTCTATAGGGCTATATATGAACTAACCTTGTAACGTAAATCTACACACACAACTAGATACATACATAGGTTTATGTATGTGTGCATGTGTGCCAGGGCTCTCACCATTTGATTGCCGAAAGCTTCGATCAACTCCTGCAGCTGGAACTGTGTCTCTGTCGGGACTTGTGCGATACTTCTTCTCTGACCTCTGCATTTAGGTCCACCACTATGACAGCTGCCAAAGGAATTTGCTCAATCGTGATCCGTTGCCGCAAATTGCCTCGGGCACCTGTTCGCAGTTCGTCAGGTTGCCACCTCGACATCCAAGATCCGCTCTTATCAGGAAGGACGCAGAGAAGTAGAGCTGCCGGACGTCCGAAAAAACAACTGTGCACCATGTGGATCACAGCATCTGCTGCCGCTACAGCAAGCATCTCAGGGATCGGCGGAAAATCTCTGCGACCAGCGCTGCACTCTCAGGAAAATCGTCCTGATCAACGTGCATGCAAGCTTACACAGTGCGAAGGATGTACGCATATTGCACAATCCTCGTCCAAGACCTTTGACAACCCCGGGAGGAAGTCCATAAAGACACCTGCTGCGCCACTCACAGCCACTGGCGGCGAACTGCTCTGCACAAGAAAGCAACATCAGGAGATTGGAAGTGGAGCCGGCCTTGATTCTTGGGGTTGTTGCGACAGAACGCCGTCGCAATCTTAGAGGGCAAGACATAGCAACAAACGACTCTCTCTTGTCTTGCACCAGGGGCCGCTCCTGCATGTCCCCGCACTGACGCAACAAGGTCCCAGCACGTCCCCGGCTCTTTCTTAAACAAACGTGCCCAGTCCGATCCTGTCCGTGTGTTGCGTCTGTCACAGAGCGATGCACAATCCCTCGGGTTCATACGCATGCATCGAAGGGCTCTAGCTAGCTCCTGCCCGATGCTGCTACAGCAAAGCACTTCCTTGTAAGCTACTGAGCAGATGAAGCTGTTTATGCCTTTCATGGTGACCGATGCATTCGCCTCGGCCCCAAGCCGTCCCCTTTTGGCCCATTCCTTCCCCCTGGGCCCGCCCCCCCCTCCTCCGCCCCTTCCACCCCCGTTCCTCCCGCTTCCAATATTGTCAACTTTTCGGGGCGTGAACTGCTTGCTGACCCTCCCATGCCATGGCATGCGAGCTTCACGCTTGCATCAGGGGCTGCGCTTTCTCCCTACACGCTGCGGGTTAGGGCTCTTGGCGCTTATTGTTTAAGCTTTAAGGTTTGTGGTTTCGAGTTTCGGGTTTCAGGCCTGTGGGCCTTGATCCTGTAAATAGGGCTTGTGGCTCCTTAATTTAAGTTACAGAGATCTATAAGGTGCCTATGGTTTCGGCGCTCACACTCGGACAATCCAGGCGAGGCATGTGGTTCGGAGTCGTACAAAGTGAGACATCTCTAAGAGGGAGCATCAGAAACTATCACAACTTGGGAACAGATGAAGTAACTGTGCGAAGTGACCCTTCCTCAGCCTAGGCCCTTACACGCCCAAGACACTATAACTGCAAGGGCCTAGACATCTGCACTAGAGAGACTCATCCTGAATGAAGAGTCCCGGGGATCGGCATTTACCAATCACAGCGGAATACACTAGTTAGCATTCCCAAACAACACGTTACCGATGGTTTTCTCCATCCACTAGAGCGCTCTGTCAAACGCTGCAAGGTCTCCCTTGACCATCGCCACGGAGGTCTCCGAGATTCGCTGTGCGTAGGCCGAGAAGGTGCACCCCTTGAGCGCGAAGATCTTCTTGTGGCCCGTGACCTGCTTGAAGTCCTTGATGAAGGCCTCTGGGAGTAGGATTGGGAACAGGCCTGATTTGCTTAAGCTTGCTTGCGCCGCTTTGGCACTGTCCTGTGCCGACTTCGTGCTCGTGATCGCGCTCGGTTTCGACCAGCTCAGGATCAGTTCGGCGTTTTCCGCCGCGACCGCTTCAGCATTGTGGATTAGGGAGCTTATCCCCTTCACCACCGAGATGTTTGGGTTGGAGGTGTTCTTGGTCACCAAGCCCAGGTAGAGGGCGACACTGAACACCGTGGATCGCAAGGTGTTGTGGGTGAAAGAGCCACCGGACTGCGCAGCAAAGGCAGAGTTCTCCTTCAGCTTCGTGAGGACGTGCTGAAATGCGGAGATCGCGCCGGCCGCCACCGACCTTTTGGCCTTGTCACTCAAGACGCCCTTGCCGACCAGCGCCTTCAGTGTGGACATCGGGAATGCCTGCATCGAGGCGAACAACTCGTACGACAAGAGCGACGTGAAGTTCTTTGATGCAGCGAGGCCCAAAGCGACGCCCGCGTCTTTCGCCGGATTTGCACCCTTGTAACCGACGAGGTCCTGAAGGTCCTCAAAAAGGCGCTCGATGGCGCGGTCCTCCCCTGTGTCCTCCTTCAAAAGCTGGTCGAGGGCCACGATTGCCTCCTGTACTACCTTCTTCTCCTCCTTCTTCGTCTTCTGCGCCATGTCGGATGACAGAGACCCCGTGCTGAAGTCCTCGACCGACCTGAAGAAGCAGCTTAGTACAGAATGCATGAAACTCCCCCAGCTTTGTGCACCTGCTTGAGCCAAAATGGCTACGGTGGTTTAGGGTTTCAGGGTTGTTAGGGATTTGGGTTCAGTGTTTAGTCAGTAATTGTTTGGGGAACAGGGTTTAAATAGGGATCCAGTTTAGGGCTTAGCATTCAGGTTGTGGGGCTTGGTTGTTAGTAGGCTTCAGGGGCTATGGATTAGTGAAAACTCTATTGGAAGAATCACATCCTGGAATTTGTGCTTCACACGTTACTGCTACAGTCCTTATGTTCGTTTGAATGAAGAACTTGCGGCGTATCTGGGCCGATTTCCACACGGCTTGCTGGTGGCGTGAGTGTGATAACGAGAAGTATCTCAAACGTGGAAAGCCGTTACAAAAGCTCCTGAAATTGGCACGCTTTCTGGGAGTGATGTCGCCGCATTCTCATCTCTACAGTATGTGGAATTTTCAGCTGGGTAGGCTTTCGGGTTGCGGCTTTCCCGAAACAATGCACCACAGCGGGGCCGAGGTGGACGATGCGAAGCGTTTAAAATTAAGCATGTCTCCGCGCTTGCTGAGCCCTAGCCTGTTGACTGGGATGCACGCGCTGCAAACGATGGCAGTCAGTCGCCGATGGAGGAGTCGACTCTCGGGATTTGTGTCCTGGAGCCATCGCACCAAGGTGTTTTCAGTGTTTCGGCACGCATGCGAGGCATGGTCGTGACGGTGTGGTTCGAGGCGATACTTACGAGCCTGTGAAACTGTGAATAACAGCTTGGGGCCCAAGACAGAATTGAGCAAGCTTAAGGATGCCTGACTGAATTGAAGAATGAATCGGGGTCCTGCCAGTCGAGCATTAACCAGTATCCAGCGATCGAGACGAAGTCGGTGTGGATCAGCATGTCTTGGACCATCCGGCCTTGCGAGGCAGGAAGTCTTCCGATAGCCTGTCCCGTCTCGGGTGCTCAGGTGCCTGCCTGAAGCTGGGGCGTTTCCGGAACACGCTTTCTGCAAGCGCTTGCCTTGCCACCGTCTGTCAGGTCTTGAGGCACTCGCTGGCATTCCTCCCATGAGCCCGCGGAGGCTGAGGAGTGAGCCGATCTCCTCCAGCTCGTTGAGAGGTTTCCGGTCTGAGATGGAAAACTCGTCCTGCACAAGCGGAACCTTTAAACACAGCATCATCCTCCTCACCAAAGAGCTTTACAGCGACGAGATCAACAGTCAGAACACCAACAGCTACAACATCCTTACAACAACAAACAACAAGGAGCAGCTTCCAGGGGTCCTCGCAGCTCCAGTTCTCGAAACTGTAGAGAATCTTGCTCATCTGCGCCACATCTGACTTGAGCTGCTGCCTCAACCGGTCCAATCCCCATGGGAAGGACGCAGCCACACTCTAAGCCGCGACAGATTTCGCACAAAAAGCCATCATGAAAGAACTGACGCACCTAGTCCTGAGGCCCGCTCATTAAGGCATCCTGCTGCTCTGTCAGAAGCGTGACCTCCAGACTTACGAAGCCTTAGAAAGCTTTTTAAAGGAGACTTGAAGAAACTGATTAACAAATTGGTTGGCTAACAGCAACTTGCACTTAAACTTTTGTGCCTTCTCGAGCTCCTCCAGGAAGTCGCCTGCAGAAAGTGCTTGCCAAGCAATCAGGGATCGACAGCACATCGACACGGGTCTGGTGGTGCGCCATCCTGGCGGCGATTGTCGAAGGAGCAGCGCATGTGTAACTAAACCAAAAGCAGTATCGGCCATGGCCGCCTCTTTCCCCTGTCTTGTCTGTACTACAAGTAATCGTGGGAATGCAGCTGCTGTGGAGCAACATAGGTTCACGACGGCATCCGCCTGCCGAATAGCTGTTTCCACAGATCAGCTCCAACGCCAACGGGAGTATCTTCCCGTCCTCGTCAGGTATCGCGCGCAAGGCAGGATTGCTTCGCTGCAACCGCTTGACTCCTCGTACATCAGCAAGTCGATCAGCATGGCCTGACTATGACACCGTCACCAACTCGGCTGGCCATCCGAAGTGCTGACATGCTGTGTAACACAAAGCTCAGAAAAAGACCTGGCACGGTTGAAACTGCTCCAAAGTCTAAGTGCTTTTTGCCAAAGATTCTGGTGCTCAGGCCACGGCATTCGGTGACCGCAAGCCAGGCTGCGAGAAGGGCATGACTGGGTGGTCCATGACCGCAATTACCTTTCCACAGCGCTTTTTTGTTCTTGTGCTTTCAAATAAAAAGATGAAAAGCTTCGAAATGTGAGTACACCAGGGACAGGGCAGTGTCGACCATGGCAGCCAAGGGGATGTGCCCCTGTGCAAACTCCTGAAACCTCGGCTCTCGAGACTCGACTGGACGACTGGACGTGCTTCAACCGTTGGTCGCGGCAGCCGGCGTTCTTTCCCATTGAATGGCTGGGCATCTGAGTCTTGGTCACCGGCTTGACGAGAACCTGGGATATCTGCACATCTAAGCCTCAGTGCAAGGTCTCCGCAGCAGCCGACTCCTACCTCAACCATTAGATCTCCTCAAGGTTTTGACGTGTAGATCTCCTCAAGCTAAGCTCATGTCCCAAGCTTCGGAGCTGAAGAAGAGCTTGCGCGATACTGACCTGCGTAGTCCGGCATGTGCCATCTCGTTCCAAATTCACAACCGTGTGTGACGCATGTTCTTTGTCAGTGCAACGTGCAGCTTCCCAACGGGACGCAGCACAGTCCTCATGCATGCCACATGCCCTCACACCAGAGGCAGCCCAGGCGTCATGTATATGAGCATAAGAGACGTTTTTCACACTTCGAGTGCAGCATTTCGCATTACGGATGAATTTACCCAGCAATGTATGCACTGACGCAGGCAATCGCATGCGCGTGAGCACACAAAGCTGGGAGGGTACAAGTCTCCGCACGAGCCTTGGCAGAAAGCTGAGCTCGGCTCGGGCTTTGATATCACATTCGGGAGTCGTGCAGCAAAGCTTCATAGCTCGCAACATCGATCGGACCACCGCCTGTCCTCCGGCCCACACGAGATGGTTCAGCGGTCTTGGGCGATGACTTCAGTGACATACTGTCAGCCTGCCCCTCACAGAGCTGTGCTTCCAACTCCGCGACTCTGGCCTGCAAGCGCTGTAGCTGACTCTCAAAGAATGCCGTTAGCTTCACCACCGGAAGCTGCCGATTCTCGTCTGGCTCTAAGGGATTCGCTTTGTAATCCAAAAGCAGTTGAGCCAGCCGCCCGTAGCCGTGAGAAGTCACGATGTGCAGGGGGCGTTGCTCGACCGGCTTCAGCATTGTGCATCGTGGATCGCACCGACCAACTTCCAGAAGGTGCTGTGCGATTTCTGCTCGATTGAAATGGCATGCTGCGCAGAGTGTAGACTGCAGAATCTGGTCGACAGCTTCTGCTGCCGATCCTCGACACAGACGTAAGAACTCATTAATGGCCATGTTCACCAAGGTCGCCGCAACATCTGGGAAGCGTTGAGGGACTACGAGAGGCTTATCAGCCTCGTGTTCTGCAAAGGGGGAAGAAGGACCCGCCATTAGCTCCGTCACAACTTCAGCTCTGGAACCTATCGATCGATCAGGAAATCCCCTGGTGATGTAAAACGGACAAACCATTCGATCCGGATCAACCGTTTGAAGGAGGACAGCCAAGATTGCAGGAGACCATCCCTGATCTGTCCGAAAGGTCACGGGATCGTTTCCTTGAGCTTCTGAGGCTGGGCCACTGTTCAAGCGCTCACGGGCGGAATCCTGGCGGTCTGGGCGAACCGCGCGCTGCGTCTGCGCTCCAGAGCGACTGAAGGAGCCCTCCTTCGTCTCCTTCTGAAGGTCCTGCCAGGGCGAAGCGCCCCTGCCAGATAAAGGGGGGCGACTTGTGCTTAGGCGCACTGGCTGTTGATGGGCAGAGCGCAGAAGGGGCATCAAAGCTTTCACCATGGTGCTGGATCCACGGCAAATTGCAAGATGAAGCAAGGAAATGCGCTTGTCGGGTCCGCTCCAGGTGTTCTCAGCTGCATCCGGCAATGCCAACGAGCAGTGCTTCAAGAATGCAAACCCCGGGAAGTCAACTAAGGCCATACGCATCAGAGGGTCTGCCCCGTACTCCACTAAAACCTGTACGACTTCTGGAGAACAGCGAATCACAGCGAGGGAGATCGGCGACCACGACGTTCCGTCTCCTCTCCGATCTACGTCGTTGATGCTCTTTCTGGCGCCTTGCCGGCACAGCTCGCGCACCAGTTCGGCATTATCGCTCCAAACAGCATGAAGCAGGGCCGTCCAGCAATGCCGGTGCGTCATGGTGTGGAGTGACCTGGGAGCTTGCCTCAGCAGGAGCTGGCAAGTCCGCGCTTGGCCTCCAAATGCAGCCACATGAAGGGGCAGCAAGCCCTTGTCTAAGTGACGGCCCTCTACTCTCTCAAAGCCGGCGCCGACAGAGGCTATGCTTCCGGCCGAGGCAAACTTGTTCAGGTGTGGGGAGCTGACATGGAAGTCACCAGTCGATGCCCAAACGTTAGCTTTTGCCTTCAGGAGAGCGCTGCAAACCTGTGTCATGCCACGGGCCGCAGCCACATGCAGAGGTGTCCAATCATAAAATCCGGCATGCTTGGAGAAAGCATTCAACTCAACATCTGGCATCTGCTTCAGAATCCAGCAAATCAAGGAGGCACCTTGCTTGGAAAGCCGATCGGTCACACACAACGCCACCAGATGCATCAAGCCCCACCCGTCCTGCAGTGTGCCCTCATGCAGGCTGCCAGCCTCTTCCAGTAGCAGCTTTGCTATATGATCATGACCGCTATAGCAGGCACTGTGCAAAGCAGTCCAGCCATCTTTGACAAAATGGGCAAAGACATCGGCACCCTGGGGAAGCAACAGCCTCGCCATCTTCACGTTTGCCAAAGCACAGGCTGCCCTAAGCGGCGTCTGGAGATTGATAGGCTCCTGCAAATTTGCGAAATTCACATCTGCCCCATGATCAATGGCCACATCGATACCAGAGATCTCGTTCGCCTTCACGCAGGACAACAAGCGCAGGTTGGCGGCCAGCTGGTCCTCTGAGACATAGCTGGCTACCATCTCCTGTGAAGCCTGCTCACTGACTGTGCAGTGCACGGTCGATGCATTTGTCGCACAGCTACACGGAGGTTCCTATACAAACGCTTGGAGCCGATGGATGACGGACATTCAGCAATCGCTACGAGTACCTCCCTGGACTTGGCCCTGTCGCCTTCAAGCCGTGCCCAAAGATCACCCAAAAGATCTGATCGGGCCTTGGAGTTTACGACAGTGATGTTTTCGTCACCTTAGGGACACGGCAAAAGAGCAGGAGCATACGCATGCAATGTGCTAAAAAGACGATGCCGGCTTAGGTACGTGCACTGGAGGAATCGGCGCGCCTGTGACCAGCGGTGGACAGGAGCGTGCTAAAGAAGATTGCTACAAAGCGCTGCTGAAGTCTGATCGAGGGGTCACAAATCAAGCAATGAAGTATTGAAAATCATCAAGCGTGTGCGCCCGGCCGAATCGTTCGTTGGCGGGCGACGCACACCGCTTGCAGGCACCTGTACGTTAGGAAAGGCAAGCTTTCACGACTCGTTCATATCATAAGTTTGCAGCTCAAGCTGCCATTGCCTGTGCAGCCCCGTGCCAATTCGATCCAATTCGACCCAGGTGCCTCTGCACCAACACCAAGGAGCGGCGACCTTATCAAGCGACAGGACTCTCCCATCGTACTATCGAGTGCCTCTTGGCATCTCGGCAGCTGGCCGCTCGGGCGACTGTCCAAGAGTCCCTTCGATGCCTCACATGCAGTCACGCAGGCCACACCAGACCGCCTCGTGAAGGGGGTCGTTATGCGGGGGAGGGGGGGACACTAGCACGGGCTTGTACAAGTAACGGAGTGTCGGCCGCCGAGAGTGAAGACTGAACCTAGCAACACGAACAGAACAACCGCAGCGGGAGGCGCGGCCCTTCAACCCAAGCGAAACACTGCTTTTCGCACAGATGTATGGCCCAGCGATGCTGTTATTCGCGGAGCCTTAACCAGGTTCTGGCTCGGGCGTTAACATGAAAAACTTGGTGGTACCACGACACACTCCATCAGTGCTAAATTGGTTGCCATAGTTTACAATACCCTTAAGATGCAGTGGTTTTAAAGGCGTGCTTTGCAAGGCATGAGCCCGGCTGATGGGCGAGGGCGCCTCCGAGCCGTGAGCTTGGGTGGGTCTTTTCTGGCACAAGACATCACCCGAGAGCTGGCATTTCTACCCAGGCCGAGCCAGGCTCCAAGCGCTGCTTTTCGCCCAGGGCCTGCATGGCTGCAGGCTGAGTTTAAGAAGCCTCTGTGATGCACCCCAAACTCCAAAATCCGATGATTCGATGCACCAGCTCCAGTGGCTTTGGAATCGTCCGCAAGCAGAGTCGGAGTCGGGTCTCTGCTACAACGAGCCCTATGCGGGAGTTTCGGAAAATAGGGGACTTTGACACAACCCTAAATCAAAACAATATCCTTGACAGCGGGAACATGGGGGAACTCTGCAAAGCGACCCCCATTTCTGAAACTCTCCCTCGCCCTTGACGCATACGAATCATCGAATCGCTCAGCCAGATGTGGCGCTTGCCGCAGGAGTCGGGCCAGCTTTCGCTGCTGCGACGAGCTTCGGCATCGCCTTGACCATGTCCGTACATGCATGTTAAACATGAACTGTAACAAGCAAACATGCGGACGTACGTGTATATATATATATGTATATGTATATATACACACACACACACACGCCTGATATGGATATAGGTACGAGTGTATAGATAGTTAGCGAAGAACCAAACATATCTATATTTACATATGGGCTCATAAACGACATAATTGACTATCAACATCATAATCATCATCGCGATCACCGCCGTCATCATCATCATCATCATCATCAGCATCATCATCGTAATCACTGCCATCACTATCATCATCATCATCATCCTCGTCGTCCTCGTCCTCATCCTCCTCCAGATCGTCATCTAGCGTGACTGTCGGCATCACCATCAACGGCTGAGGGATAAAACAAACCAAAAGGGATCAAATCAAATGTCTGGACCAAACACAATCCAAAACAGGGATCAAACATCATATCTCCTGGAGGATATCTCAAGCGGGCCAAGTTTCGGATCCAAACAAAATCAAAAGACCGTGAGACGCGGTGACAGGCCAGACTGCTTGGGGTCGCAGTAGTACAGGCCGTAGCAGTGTGCGTTATCCGCAGAAACAGCAATAATGACGGCAAAGGTTACTAGTAACAGCGACACCAAACGTGTGTCGTGTTTGAATGTAAAATTGTATACATGCAGGTACATATTGTACATATATATATATGTGTGTGTATGTATGTCGCATTAGTAGACTTGCCTGCGTTCCATAAACTGACTTCTGTTGGTGGCGATCTGCAACCATGAATGAATACAGATCTTCCAACACTAGCATGATGTCATGCGTAGTCTTTGTGCCAAAGACTATGTTTCGTGAATCGCTATGCTTTTATCTATCCCCGGGCTATCCCGGGCTAATAGGGAATAGCAACCTGAAATCTTCAATGTTCAAGAAACGAAATATTCGAATTTCGAACTCGCTGTGAATTTTTTTATGGTCTAGTCTAGATGTTAAAACAACCCGTGTTCAGGCTCATGTCTTCAGTAAACCGCACTTTAAAATCCACGTGCACGTAAATGTGCACAGAGCATGCACAAGTTTGGAGCTGACGGTTTAAGGAGAAGCTTTCGAGGTAGGTCTTGGGGCGATATCGTATACACATACATGAAATTTAATGAGGTATAATGAAATCTAGTGACATGCCAGGACATCTAGTGAAACGTGATTATGCATGTACGCATGTATGTACGTATGTTTGCATGTATGTATGAGTGTTGTACTGTCTGTTCCTTCCTGCCTTTCTCTTTGTTCTTTCCTCCCCTTTCTTTCTTAAGAAGAGAAAGACAAGTAAGAAGAGAAAGACAAGTGTTTGAAATTTTGAAGCTGCAAATACTGTCATTGGCAGCATTTCAAAGTTTTCTTTTTGCTGATCCCTACCCGATTTTTTGTGCATATCCCACCATTCAGGCGAATAACAGTGATAACTCGAGCAAGAGTAAGACCGGGCATGCTGAGCTGCTCGAGAAGCCATTGTTATCAATAATGATGACCAGCTAAGATATATCGGTAGCTACGTAAGCAGGTAGGCAACTAGCTAGTAGTACTGTGTGCCGGGAAACGAGGGCCGATGTTTGAACAAGTTTGTGTGGCAAACTTGCTCATCTTGATGACATTTTTGAGGGGGGGGGGAGGGTTGGGCAAGATGGCACGCAGGCTTGGTCATCTCTGGTTGCACCACTTGCAGGTAGGTACTGTAGTCTGTCGTTCGGTAGGTAGGCGCCATGCATGCATGTACGAACTGAGGTGCGAACAAGACCTGTGCGGTGGCAACCATTTATCTAGGAGTATGTGCTAGATCTAATCCTTAACATTTGCTGAATGCTCCGTGGTCACACTTAGAGTTATCTTGAAAAAGCCTGCTATCAAGCTGCTATCATAACTCAAAGGAAGCCTGCAAGCCTTCGGTTGATTCTGGAAGATCACGGACCACAGTGACAGGTCAAACAGGCTGAAGCCATGATGGAGCAAGTCTCAAATGGCCCACAGCTGACGTATCCCCTGTATACAAAACCATGCTGAAACGTTTCCGGGTGGATGGATGTCTGAAGACTGGTCGGGCGGCTGATGTGGCATAGCCGCGCACGCGGTTCTCCGCAATGTTGCGCTTGGAGTCTGTGCTGAGATCGTAGCCTCCTTCGATTTTTTTCTCACCTCGATTTATATGGCATTGCAGACACGGCAGCTTGTGAATGTGAGCCCAGCCCACTGCTCCCGGCCTCGCATTGTTGCGTCTCTGATGAAGACGATGGCCCGCCACCAGGTCCCTGGCGGAAACTCCTGCGAGACTGTTGAGCAGAGGGTGACGCAAGATCTCTGAAGACTGATGACCTGGCCCTCCATGTCCCTGCCCATCCCCTGAACATAGCCAAGCGGCCGAGTTTGCACACCTAGTGCACAAAAGCTTCACTCAGCTTGCAACTCGCCAAGATGCTCTATGCAGTGGATCTCCACCTTCACGTTAAAGAGCCGAGGATGCCACACTATTTTCTTGGCCATGTCCTCAGCCTGAGCTGTGCGGCAAAGTCGACATCCAAGCAGTCGACTGGTTTCCGACGGCACTGCTTGCTTCCAGCCGTCACGGGAAATAGCTGCGGCTAAGCTGCAAGTGCTCGGAACTGTGCCATGTGGCGTTCTTGAACAGTTCTCCACACTGCATCCAGAGTGGGGAACCAGCAGCAGCCCATGCGGGCAAACAGGAGTAGCTGCCGTTGGAATCCTGCGCAGAAAAACGGGAAAGCTCCAGCTACTTGCCGCTTGGACCTCGCGCTCGCATCAGGGCTGAGAGCAGAGCCGGTCGTGGTGAGGACTCTTTGCTTTCCTGGCTTCGTCAACACTCGAAGTGCCCGCCGAGCCTCCGAGTCGATGCGCTTGGAGGCAAGGGGCTGGCTGCTACGTGGCACCACGAAGACTTGAAGAGCATCTCGGGGTCTGAAGATTGGCTCGTCTCCAGCAGGATCCTCATGCCTTGGCGAGAGCAAATGCATCTGCCTCAGACCCTATAGGCATAAGCAAGCAGCAAGTGTGATGCCGAACACGGTACTGTCAAAAGAGCTGTGCTTCTCTCAGGCAAGCTTCGCATGGCTATTGCGAGGGCGCAGCTGCGGTTGACACCGGCTTCGCAATGAATCAGCACGGGCCCACCTCATGCCGCGAGATTTGTTACTATAGTTACCAGTACTGCGCCGTGTCTCGTGAATGCAGGACATGTGCTCACGCTGGCTGCAAATTGCAAATGTTCATCCGGTCCATGCTCTTTCAAAGAAATCGCGAAAGAGCTGCTCGAGTCGTCGGAGTAGGCGAAGGACCAAGCGACATCAAAGTCGCACAGGATGCAATAGTCCTCAAAGTCCTTTGCTATTGGCTTAGTTGCCAAATCCCGAATAGCTGCCCCCGTACAACTCTGGTTGCGCTGCAGGTGTGACGGACAAGCTCAAGAGGCCATGCTCGCCATGTGCCGTTTGGAAAATTTCGAGTCACTGCACTGCCCCTGGCCCATGGCGGCCCTCAATCTGCTATGGGATGCGGAGTGGCATCATGCCACAGCTCCAGGTATTCAACTCCGGGACCGTAGAATCCCTGGCCTGGCAAAGTGCAGATTCCGTAACGTACTCGCACACGCTTCCTTTCTGGCCTGTGTCTCGCACCTTGGCCATAGCAAGGGTTTGCAACAAGGACGCGCCCCCTTTTCGAATCATTAAAGTAATGGTCGCGACTGAGACGATGGCTGTTTGTGGTGAGCAGTTAATCACCTGCTCATGCAAGATGCCAGACTCCAACATGCACGCAGAAACAGCATGGCTTATGCTGCAAACTGCTTCCACAGCAGGAATGAATGACGCACGAGCCTTTTGAATCTTGTTCTGCAGAATGGCGGGGATATTTCGAGCCGCGGTAGCATCGCCAAGAAAGATGCGGCCTGTCGCTGTGGGGCAGGCATGCCGGACTGTTTGGCAATACGAGACTCTGGCAAGTCAGGGCATCAGTACCCCCTTGTCGGGGGGGGGGGCTGAGGCCCCCCCCCTGTGCCTATACACCCACAAGGAATACTCCTTGTTAGGAGGTGTATGACCAGTTATTCCCTAAGGATCAAAGGGCAGAGCCCTGCACACGGACAGTAGTTGTTTTGTCTTGCTACGCAAGGAGAGCTTGTCTTGTCTCAATATGGTAAAACCACTGTGAGCCAATGGGCAGCGGAATGTATATGTATGAGCATGCAGCCATTGCTGTAGGTACCTGTTAGGGGGGGGGGGGGGGGGGGGGGGGGGGGGGGGGGGGGGGGGGGGGGGGGGAGGGGGGGGGGGGGGGGGGGGGGGGGGGGGGGGGGGGGGGGGGGGGGGGGTGGTTTTTAGGGTTCTCCTTTCTCTCCTTTCCTTTCCTTGTTGTTTTGGGGGGGGGGGGGGGGGGGGTTGTGTGGGGTGGGTCCTTCTCTCTCTTTTTGGGGGGGGGGGTGTGTTTGGGTGGGGGGGGGGGGGGGGGGGGGGGGGGGGGGGGGGGGGGGGGGGGGGGGGGGGGGGGGGGGGGGGGGGGGGGGGGGGGGGGGGGGGGGGGGGGGGGGGGGGGGGGGGTGGGGGGGGAGCTACCCCTTTAGAAGTTTATGGTTTCAAACAGACACTAATTTTCTTTTACCGGAAGCATGGCCGCACATTCACACATATACTATTATGCCCACTGTCACAGTTGCGGAGTCTGGACTCATGATGAAAACAGCATATTATTTAAGCTAGGTATAGCACTGAAGTACACTGCTGCGGACACTCCTTTTGCACACACTCATGCATGTTGGTCAGAGAGATCGTCTGTACAAGATCATGTCTGGTGATATTTTCTACATCGAATTATGCAGCCCTTCACTTTGCTCTTGTTAGAGCTTTGTGAGTCACTGTTGTGAAACTCCGAGATTTTTCCTTATCTCAGATTTGGATCCAGGTTTGGATCATAGGCTCGAGCGTAGACGTTCGGATTTGGCTCATCCGGGTCTGAGTGATCTTCTTCGGAACTTGAATAAATTCCGAGTAGTCTGTTCTCAGCCCTGGTGAAGGCGGCGTCTGCAGTATCATATCCATGGTTGGATGTTGTCGCCTTTGGCTCGGCCTTTGGCGCAGCTTGTGAGCTGACTGGAGTTGCATTGGCTTTAGCCGGTTGTGGCTGCTTAGCCTTTGCCCGTTCAGCCCTTCTTCTTTCAAGCTGTCCGTCTGAGGACGCCCATGATCTTTCACTTTCATCTCCTGAAGGAGATAAGGCGTGGGCATAAAGGCTATTCCAGTACTGTGCTGCAGAAGGAGTCAGGACTTCTTCATTGTCAGATTCTGACTGGTCTTCCTCAGAGCTTTGGTCGTCAAAGAGTGTCTCGAGGACATTTTTGAGATTGTTATTTCTTCGCTCTATCTCTAGTGAGGAATGGACCAATTGGTTAACGACTGTCCTTGAGTCCTTCAGTGCTGTTAGAAGGATTTCCACTCTGGATAGAGTATCTTGGATGGTGTCAAGATGTTCCTTTCTTTCCTCCTTGTCTCTCTGGATAGAGCCTCGCAATGCTTGTGCGATTCTGAGGAGGTCTGTGTATTTCGCAAGAGGCATAGTTACCGTTTGATTGTCATGTATGACAGTTGTTTAGTCGCCGCTTAAGTTCCTGAATAGGACTTCCACGACTGGTAGGAACTCCGTGCTCCACGGTTCCTCTTCATCATATGTTTCTACGTGCTGTAGCACGCGTTGTGTAAACTGGCCGGCTGCTTCTACCGTTGCATCGATAGAGCTGACGTGTCTTGCTGCCATGTTTCGGCCCGTAACGTTAATTGCCTGGCCTTGATTGGCTTCGTTAAGTGCAGCGTCTGCATAGGTGCAGAGTCCACTGTTGTGGGCTTCTCTAGCTGCCTTTCGTTGAATGCGCCGATTTTGACCTCCTCTTCTGGTAGGACCTTTTGGTCTCGGAGGATCTGAAGGTACTGTTCCTTTCGCCTTTGGCGGAGGACTCTTAGGTGGAGGTGACATGTTTGCCTTGTTAGGCACTGGTGGCATTGCCTTGGGCGCTGACGACGATGCGGCACTTGAGAGTGCAGATGTACCTTTGGCTTTTGCCGAGGATCCCTTGGGGATCGATGTATAGGTAATCTGCATGGCTTCTTCGGCCATTTGTGCATGCAATGCATCTTTGAATAATTGCGTCATATGAGGAGTGGTACTTGCATCATCGTAGGTCTGGAAGCGCTCAATGTCTCTTTCGGTGCCACGTGGACGTGTATCACCTCTTTGAAAAGGATCGTTCCTGCGAATCTCCGCAACTTGTACTGCATGGAGGCAGTTTTTGCACAGCACCTTCCTGCAAACATCTCTTGCTTGCTTGAGCTGGTAACAGCTGTCTGAGAGATGGTAGACTTCGCTTCGGGAAGTATGCCAGATAGGTCGCAGATCAGTTGTTTCTCCGGAATTGACCCTGTTGGGTCCTAAAGGTTCACGCGTCTGCGGTTCATCCTCGGGTTCGAGGAATGGAACTCTTTGGTTCGCTGCTGCTTTTGATTTTGGTTGTTGGCGCTCCATACATCTGATAGGAGGCCTGGTAATCTGCTTCCACATCCAGTGTAAGCCCATTAGCAGCAGAAACACATTCCACGCGATGCTGAAGACGGAGAAGTCCTGCTCACTGGTTAGTGAGTTTGGAAGTGAAGTTTCATCAGTCTTGATAGACTCTGCGTTCGCTCCACCTGGTTGCGGTGTCCGAACCAGCCCGACAACCCCGCTGCTGTAGCAGCTGTTCTGAGTGCCTTGCCGCTCGGAGCAGACGGTGGACGCGATGCCTTCCTTCTTCTTCTCCGGCTGGAGGATTCGTCCTCTTGTTCCTCTTCATCTCTCTGAGCAGACATCAAGTTTGATGTTTCTCTTTCGTGTTCTTCGATGTCACTTTTTGTTGGTGACGGTTCCTCCTCTAGTCCATCCAGCTCTTCCAAAGACATGTTGAGCTTGTCAACAATATTGGTTCTTTGAGGCCTGGACCTTGATCTTGGTAGATCTTGTTGTGAAGAGGACGATGATTCCTGGTTCCTTCTTGGAGGAGGACCTTCAGGCTCGCTGGGACGTTCAGGCTGTGGCCATTCCCAGAATCTTCCGTATCTGTGATGGCTACCTGATGGTTGCGATCTGTCGTACCAGCTGTTGCCGGATGAGTAAACGAATGAATCTTTGTAACCCCAGTATTCAGCATTACGCTGCTTGAAAGCCTTTCGCTTGTCAGCGATCTTCTGAACCTGGGCATCTGACCGGTTGTGTTTCCCTTTTGTAAGGATTGGTTGTATCGTGAAGCCCAAAGGGCTGTGCCAATCTTTGTCAGAGGGACTCAACCATAGGTCAAGGTTAGAAAAAGTTGAATAGTACTGCTTGACTGAGACAAACAGACGGATATCAATATCCCTGTTATTGTTCATGTCCTGCCACATATCTGAGATTCGCTCCCAGTATGTTCTTTCGGCGGCAGGTGTAACATCTCTTGGACTAGGTGACGCCGTGTGCGGCGTTTTACTCCAGTCAAGGATATAACTGTTGATACAGTCAAGGTCAGCAACTTTCTTCGCCGGGTCCGCCGGTAGACGATCTGCACGTGCCAGTCTGTGCTGGTCGGAGTTGTTCAAGCAAAGATGTCGCACTTGTGAGTGCCTTCCTGCTATTTTGTTGAATGCTGCAAGTTTCTTCTCCAGGTATAGAGAAAACAAACTGTTTCGCGGGTGAACGTCTCCACCTTTTAAGGTGAGCCTCGACGCAATATTATTGAGATCTCCCGCTATTACATCCGGTTTAAAAGGGAGAATCTCGTTGAGGAACGCGTTCACCAGTTCGCGTCTCTGTTCTTCCTTATGAGTCATGAATGAGTTGAAATGGACGATCGCGATGGTGATGACCTTGTAAGGCCCTTTTGTACACCACATCTCGTCAAGATCGTTCGATGCTTCTTGTGAGAAGATCTCTGCGTATGACTCAAAGTCTTCCTCTGGTGGCTCATCACCCTCGACATGGCCGTTCCATTCACAGAGAATCGGCGAGGGGTCGAGGTTCGACAGTGTCAGGCACGCCTCTGGTGAGAGGTAAGAGCCATCAGTGGGTCCATCCTTGTCAGGATTTTTGCCCTTGAGTGGGTCATATCCGATAATCTGCATGAACTCGTCTCTCGTCATCCTTTGGCCAGAATATGGGTGGACCCATTCTTTTGCCTCTGGTATGGTACTGTGGTACCCAAAGGTGAGGCGGCATACCGCACCGTGGCATGCCCACAGTCGCTTCTTGGGACCACCATTCTTAGGCTTCATTGTTCGATGACGGTAAAAGTGGTGGACGAGAGCGATGTCTGTTGTTGGGTCACCCTTGACTCCAATATACATCGAGGGTGCCTCAGGCTCCTTGGGAGGAGAATGGATTAGCATCCCCCTGTATTCATGTTGTCGCATGGTTGCGATCGAATACTCTGACGCAAGTGCTCCTGCCTCGAGTACGAGGGTAATATGAGCTGAATTGTTGAAGCACATGTCAATAAGAGGGTGATAATCGAATCCCTTCTCAGGTTTGAGCTTCTTTTTGGGATTCCCTGCGGGCACCGGCGCTCGATCCATATTTCCCCAGTTGAATACCACTAGGTTTAGCGATACGCTGTCTGGGTTTGAGCCTTCAATGTATTCTCTCTTCTCGTTAACACCGGCCATCCTATTGCGAACTATCTCGTAATGTGCGTCGAGCACCAGTTTGTCTTCGTAGCCAGTAAGAGAGAGAAAAGAAGCCGGGTGGCTTGTTCTAGAGT